ATTGATTTGTGCCAGAAATGAAGGTAAAATTCTTTCATAACACATCATCAGAATTGGTCGAAAGTATATATTTACCAAGCATAGTTTTTAACTTCATTTTCGTTTAGTGGAAACAAATGAAAATTTACCCATAATTTGATATCTTTTCTGTTGCTAAGGATGAATTCAGACTAAAACAAGGTGATTTTCACGTATGACACTTCTTTGCGATTTTACCTTTAACCGAGGAGTTATTTGATTTTGTTCATTTTTACACTGATATTCTTATCATTATAGTAAGTACTGTAAGTATTTTAAGAGGCAACATTTACTAGAACCTAATAGAACCTGACCTAACCAACCAAAAACCTATCCAACCTTACCTAACTTCGTTCCCCCTGCCATATAAAACAGAAAGTACTTATTTTGATATCTGGCACAAATGAAAGGGTAATTATTGGTTTTAGTGACATTCACGTTTTTTACATGAAAACCTACTTTTCTGGTGTTTTTTGGTGTGTTTTCTTCAAATATCACCTTCATTTCCTTGGGAAATAAGTGGTTTTCAAGGAAATGAATTAACATTTTCCCAGTAACTTTAGATTTCCCATGGAAATAAAGGTAAAATTTGCTGGAAAAACAGTAAAATACAGCAGAAAAATAGGTTTTCATGGACACAGTTTGCCCGTGGGAGGATTGGGGTTTTGGGGTGAAAAAAAAAATATATATAATAATAATAATTGGAACACAAAAATGCATTAGAAAGAAACAATTTGGAATAAACGTAACCTAATCTAACCCTTTGTCCTTTTTGTCCATGGGCAGACAATTGTACGAGGAATAATGCCATGAGACTTAGAAGCTTCCTCTGCAGCTTGATCATCTTTGTAAATGTCTTTTATGAGTAAGTTGATAATAGTCAGTCAAGCACAAGCCACACGCTGTGACTGTATCTAATCGTATGGAGGACGTGCCAGGGAGGAGCAGACCGGGAAGGTTGAAGTGACGGAGTTTACTGTTAATTATGAATATTTTTATTTCAATTTTACTTTCATCATTTTCTCGAAAACAGTGACAATCCCATAAGGTTGAAGGTTAGTTATGAGCTTAACAGTAAGTCAAAGTGAGTAAAAAAGGCTACTTCATGGAAATATGAACATGAGTAAAACCAATGAAAGCAACTTTGTTGAAGTGTCATGGTGTAATTTAACGTTTTTTTTTTTTTTTTTAAACTGAAAGTACACTTGGAACTAGCGGAAAGATGTAAACAAACTATCAGATGTGCTGACTCAGCATATTTTACGGAGGAGTATATACGGTAAATAATTAAATTCTTCATGTACAGTGATCCCTCGGTTAACGAGATTTCGGTTAACGAGTTACCTTCCATAAGTTTCTTAACTTCGGTTAACGAGCAATCCCTCGATTAACGAGTTTTTTACTAAGTCGACCTCAACATGATGCCAGGCGTGTCCACCAGCTGTAGTATTAGTCCAATACAGTAATCGGTTCTAGGGCTTAAAGTCCTTACTATTTTTGTAAATATCAAGAAGTTTATACTATTCAATAATTTTAAAAGTTTTATATTAAATTTTTAGTCATTTTAACAATTATTGAACGAAATTGAAGTACAGGAAGCTAGTTTTTTGCGCCAAACAGCCTGTCACACACCATACAGGCGTCAGTCTCTGTCTTTTTCACTGGAGGTCATCTTGCTTGAGACTCTTCAACTAAACGCTTTTTTCTGTGTTTCCAAGCAAATTATTGGTCAATTTGAAATTTATTTTACATATTGACAATACCGATATAATGCAGTGCAGTGTTGATTTAAAGAAAATAATCTTGAATTACACCAAGAGAACTAAAATTTTATGGGTGAATGGCACCATGGGGTGACTTCTCTTCCACCCCAATGCCTTCTCTTCTCGCTTCTCCTCCACCCCCATTCTAATTCCCATCATCATCATCATCCAGGAGCCTTCTACATACACACCTCAAAGTAAGTGTACTTTACTACCATTTTTGTTGATTTTAGGCAATTTTCTGTGAGCTGGAACCAATTACCCAAAAACCCATTGAAACAGTGGTTTCGGTTAACGAGTTTTTCAGTTAACGAGCAACCTTCTAGAACGGATTGTGCTCCTTAACCGATGGACCACTGTACTACATTTTTTCGATTTCTTGTAATCTGCACCTAACCCTATTTTCTCCATAAGCCCTGTTTTATTGCGAATTTCTACAGCGCGAGGTTTTACAAGAGCACAACTATCGCGTTGTAGCAGAACTGGCTGTATTATTATACTGTATTTACATTTTCGCCCCAATGTCTGGGCGGGCTAATCCCTGTAAAATACTGTATGTATAGGTATATTTTTGAGGATGAAACTTTAGCAACCATTTTTCCAACTAACAACTCATTGCATTTATATCTTCTTGTAGTTTTACACAGTCCACTGTATTCCTTATTCTTCTGTATTTTTATTTATTTAATTTTTTTATGAACTCTAATTTTGTGTAAAAATTGACCATACGGTGCATGATAATTTTATTGCAAGTTACAGCAGAAGAGTTAACAGTTTCATCCATTTAAGTGTTATAGTTGAAATAAATGTCAAGGTGTTGGTGTATATTTTGATAATGTTTACATTAGATAGAATGATTAATTATAAATTTATATACCAACAAACCTCAAGGATTAGCAGCAGAAGTACAGTACAGTATAGAGTGAGTTGGCCCCATTGTGTCATTGTTAAAGTGTAACATCTGTCTTTCAGGAGTGTGTTAGATGGTGTCTTCACAACAGTTACTGCTACAATCAGTTATTGCCATAGTCCACCATGGATTGTGTTTGGTTGTCCGTGGTAAGTTATGAAACATAAATTTGGGTCACCTGATGATAAGGCATTCCAACTTATTTCACCTAATAATTAAACACCCTCATCCACCAACTTAGCCTAACCTAACCCCTGTAGGTGATGTTAGGGTATTTAATTATTAGGTGATATAGCTGGGGATTACTCTACTCTGTTCACTTTAGGTAGACATCTGGGACGAAGGAAAGGACTTTCATGATTGGCGGACACAACCAGGGTAAAGGGGGAGGGGTGGATGTAGGAGTCAGTTTGGTTACCTACCATTTAATGACTGCTCACCACTACCTCATGAAACACTGTCTCAGTCGCAGAGCTCTATTATCTTTCTCCGCCCTTGTCCTCTTGCTATCTCTTAATTCTTAGGGGTTTCTCTTGTAAGGGCTGGACTTTTTCTTACTTTATGCTATTCTGTCCTTCAGATTTATTCTATTTCATATACAGTACTTATCCTTTTTATATATTTCTTCTCTTTTATTCTTCAATATATATACTGTACCTATATTCTTATTTCAAATACTGTACAGTTTTTTATATTTATTCTCTTGTTATTTTCCAAGTCAATATTCTTTTCTTTACTTCATTTCTTTTCATATACAGGTGCTCCCCGACTTACGACGGGGTTAGGGACCCAAATCCAGGTCGTAAGGATCCGACGTAGATAAAAAATGAAATTATTAAAAAATAAATAAATAAATATAAAAAATAAAAGATCTACAGTGAAATACAGTACAGTGAAAGTAATAAATAATGAGGAATGGATAGTGTGACTGAGCACTTACCTTTAATGTAGTCAGCTGAATGCACACGGGGCACCCATAATTTTCTAATTATACATGGAGACTGCATTAACTGGAAACGTTTCGGTATAGAAAATGTGCGCGTCATTTGAAAAGAAAAAAATTTGTCACGACTATGATGGTCGTATGTCGACCACGTTCCTGATAAAGAGAGGACTTTGAAACACTACTGAGGGTACACCAACCAGATATTGTGGGAGCTGTAGAACTGTTGTACAAGAACAGGAGAATCGACCCAGAGGAATGCGAGTTCAGTATTGTCTGGATATGACTCATTTGAACCTTTCTCAAGAAACTTGCAAGAGGGTGTGGTTATCATGCTAGGCAAGACCTTGGAGCCACCATGCAGTACAGGAGAGGATGTTTTGAAGAGTCCAAGTGGTGTAAAATTAAACTAAGGGAGGGACTTACTTATTGTCGGGTGTTTCTACAGATCCCCAAACTGTGACCCACTAAATCAAAGGAACTTAAGAGCCTTAATAGACAATCGCTATGCTCAACCCTAGCCGCCTCCTTATCATGGGGGACTTTAACTATGGTGACATCGACTGGAGAAATGAGTTCACCCCAAGTGACTTGAATAACCCTGCTACTTTTTTTGTAGAAACTCTGAGAGATTGTTTTCTGTTCCAATATGTTAGAGACCCGACACATTACAGAGGGGAGCAAACACCCAAGCCACTTGACCTCATCATAACAAATGAGGAGGGTATGGTGACCAAACTGGAACACCTTGCTCTAGTTGGCACCAGTCACCATATAGTGTTGTCATTCAGATTTATCTGTTATCTAGTTCAAGATAAGGCCAGGCCAAGATGCAAATACTACAGGGGAAATCACAATGGGATGAGGGAAGAGATGAGGGGTATCAACTGGCCTGATTCATTAAGGCACAAGACTGCAGACACTACGCTTAATATCATAACTAGTAAAGTGCCCCATTTGATCGATAAGTACATACCCAAGACCAAACCCAGTGCCTCTAGGAATACGAGGGGATCCTTACACATGAACCATGCGGCGGTCGACAAAGTAAAGAAGAAAACCCAGAAATTCAAGACATGGGTTGGGTCAAATGAAGAGCAGGACAGAAGGATGTATGCAAGAGCCAGAAACCAAGCAAAGATAGTGTAGATGGGCTGAAAAGGAGTTCCAGAGGCTAATGGCAAGCGAGGTGGCATTCTTTTACAAGGTTGTTTCATAGTAGATGTTCCATCACGACATCTCATATACTATTCTGTAATTCTCATAAATACTTTACACACAATGCTGGTCACGCTCACTGGCCTATATTTATTCGTGGGGTGGTGATCTCCCAAAACTAATTTTTTTTTTTTTTTTTCAGAGTAAAATGAAGCCCACGTCTCGGTCCAAATCAGCCCATCTACGGCCTACTTGTAATTCACCTCCAAGGAAGCGATTGTGTGTGGCAGATGGCATTTGTGATGGCAAGGACAAGAAGCTTAAAGACACCTGCAAGGCACTGAAAACAAGTCATCAGATGTCTGTAGAGAAGGTGCACAAAGGAAGCAAAGAGGTGAGGTTGAAGATAAAGATAATGGGGAGAGGTGGGAATTTGTTGAACAAGAATGAGTGGAAGCCAGTGGGGAAAGACTTGCAGAAAAACCCGATATGTAATCCAAAGCGAACCAAGGAAAAGAGTGTGGAAGGGTGTTCTCAGGAAAGTGACATCAAAGCATGGAAGGGAAATGAAACATTAGAAGGTGAAGTTAGGTCTTGGGGAAGTAAGGTGTGCACTTCCAAGGGATTTGAAACTGTGAACGATGAATCACACCTTTGGGTAAGTAAAATGTGTATGCCAAAAGGATATCCTAAAATGAAGATGAAGCATAAACAGGATGACGGTGTTGATAATTTGTCCCTAAGAAATGAGTTTAAAACAACAGTGGAATGTCAGGGACTTAATGATGATGATACTTGTCTGTTGGTTAATGGTGGTGATAGTCCTCTGACAGGTAATGGTGGTGATAGTCTCCTGACAGGTAATGGTGGTGATAGTCCTCTGACAGGTAATGGTGGTGATAGTCCTCTGACAGGTAATGGTGGTGATAGTCCTCTGACAGGTAATGGTGGTGATAGTCCTCTGACAGGTAATGGTGGTGATAGTCCTCTGACAGGTAATGGTGGTGATAGTCCTCTGACAGGTAATGGTGGTGATAGTCCTCTGACAGGTAATGGTGGTGATAGTCCTCTGACAGGTAATTATTTGAAGATGATGGGTCAGGAAGATAAACAAACCAGTAGATGAAGAGAGGAAAATGAGTGAAAATGCCCAGGAGGAGAGGAAGCTTGATTGTGAAGTTAGTATAAAAGGCTTAATGACCAAAGCTGATGTGGAAAAGATGAAGAGAACACAGAAGAAGGAAAGAAAAAAAACATTCGAGGAGAATAGAAGAAAAACAGTAAAGAGCAACCTAGAAAGTGCAAGAGCAAACTGGAGGGATACCCTGTGGAAGATCAAACAAACCAAGTGAAAGATTGTAGAACAATGACATGTGTGAAGGTGAAAATGCAATGAAAGCAGACCAAAAGACGTGTGACAAAGGAGGGAAGAAAATTAATCTCGGAAACAGGTGTAAAGACAGTGTGCCAAGTCATTCAATGGACTATTCTGACACTTCACAGGAAAATTTCCCCAGTGACCAGGGATGGGAAGTTAGATCCTTTAGTTCTCTCATTAGGGAGATAATTAATGAGGAAGTGGCTTGTGCCAAACGTACAGAGGTGGCTGCTGAGAAACCTTGTGATGAAAATTCTAGGTCAAAATGTGAAAATGAATTTGATGATAAACAGAAACAAGATACAAATAGGGTTGTTGAGGATAACGCTGATGAACAAGTTCGCTTTTACTCCATCCCAGAAGTTGTGGAACGTTTTCCTGTGGACATGGATGTTAAGGTTGTGTCTACCAGATTTACAAATGAACTTCCTCAAACTAATGGATTAAGTGGATCATATAATTATGCCAGTACAGTAGGAGACAAGGGCGTACTGACCCTGCACAGTACAACAGTGAATGCTGGGAATTTATCTGTGGAGTCTGTGAAATGTTCAAATAATCCCACTTTTGCAGCTGTTAATCCTCTGGTCTTGGGAGAATATACAGAAGCTCATTGTTACAGTTACCGTCTGTGCAAAGTTTTACTCCAAGATATCAGATTAAAGGGTACAAATTGTTACATAGTGGAGAGGGAAGGTGACTGTGACCCTGTACCCGTAGAAGGTGACAGTGACTCTGTGCCTGTAGAAGGTGACAGTGACTCTGTACCTGTAGAAGGTGACTGTGACCCTGTACCTGTAGAAGGTGACTGTGACCCTGTACCTGTAGAAGGTGACTGTGATCCTGTACCTGTAGAAGGTGAAGGCCTGTACCTATAGATGGTGACTGCCCTGTACCTGTAAAGGTGACAGTGACTCTGTGTGTAGAAAGGTGACAGTGACTCTGTACCTGTAGAGGTGACTGTGACCCTGTACGTAGAAGGTGACAGTGTGCCTGTAAGAAGGTGACAGTGACTCTGCCTGTGAAGGTGACTGTGACCCTGTACCTGTAGAGGTGACTGTGATCCTGTACCTGTAGAGAGGTGAAGGTGACCCTGTATAGACGGTGACTGTGACCCTGTACCTGTAGAGGTGACTGTCTGTACCTGTAGAGGTGACTGTGTCCCTGTACCTGTAGAGGTGGTGACCCTGTACCTATAGACGGTGATGACTCTGTGTGACTGTGACCCTGTACCTGTAGAAGGTGACTGTGATCCTGCCTGTAGAAGGTGAAGGTGACCCTGTACCTGTAGAAAGTGACGGTGACTGTGACCCTGTACCTGGAGAAGAATGTGATCCTGTGCCTGTAGAAGGTGAAGGTGACCCTGTACCTGTAGGTGACTGTGACTCTGTACCTGTAGAAGGTGACTGTGACCCTGTACCTGTAGAAGGTGACTGTGACTCTGTACCTGTAGAGAGGTGACTGTGATCCTGTGCCTGTAGAGGTGACTATGACCCTGTACCTGGGTGACTGTAACCCTGTACTTGTAGAGGTGACTGTGACCCTGTACAGATGACTGTGTCCCTGTACCTGTAGAAGGTGACTGTGACCCTGTACCTGTACAGGTGACTGTGTCCTGTACCTGTAGAGTGAAAGTGACTGTGACCTGTACCTGTAGGGTGACTGTGTCCCTGTACCTGTAGAAGGTGAAAGTGACTGTGACCCTGTACCTGTAGAAAGTGACTGTGATCCTGTGCCTGTAGAAGGTGACTGTGACCCAGCACCTGTAGAGGTGAAGGTGACTGTGACCCTGTACCTGTAGAAGGTGACTGTGACTCTGTACCTGTAGAGGTGACTGTGACTCTGTACCTGTAGAAGGTGACTGTGACTCTTGTACCTGTAGAAGGTGACTGTGACTCTGTACCTGTAGAGAGGTGACTGTGACCCAGCACCTGTAGAAGGTGAAGGTGACTGTCCCTGTACTGTAGAAGGTGAAGGTGACTGTGACCCTGTACCCGTAGAAGGTGACAGTGACTCTGTGCCTGTAGAAGGTGACAGTGACTCTGTACCTGTAGAAGGTGACTGTGACCCTGTACCTGTAGAAGGTGACTGTGACCCTGTACCTGTAGAAGGTGACTGTGATCCTGTACCTGTAGAAGGTGAAGGTGACCCTGTACCTATAGATGGTGACTGTGACCCTGTACCTGTAGAAGGTGACAGTGACTCTGTGCCTGTAGAAGGTGACAGTGACTCTGTACCTGTAGAAGGTGACTGTGACCCTGTACCCGTAGAAGGTGACAGTGACTCTGTGCCTGTAGAAGGTGACAGTGACTCTGTACCTGTAGAAGGTGACTGTGACCCTGTACCTGTAGAAGGTGACTGTGATCCTGTACCTGTAGAAGGTGAAGGTGACCCTGTACCTATAGACGGTGACTGTGACCCTGTACCTGTAGAAGGTGACTGTGATCCTGTACCTGTAGAAGGTGACTGTGTCCCTGTACCTGTAGAAGGTGAAGGTGACCCTGTACCTATAGACGGTGACAGTGACTCTGTACCTGTAGAAGGTGACTGTGACCCTGTACCTGTAGAAGGTGACTGTGATCCTGTACCTGTAGAAGGTGAAGGTGACCCTGTACCTGTAGAAAGTGACGGTGACTGTGACCCTGTACCTGGAGAAGAATGTGATCCTGTGCCTGTAGAAGGTGAAGGTGACCCTGTACCTGTAGGTGACTGTGACTCTGTACCTGTAGAGGTGACTGTGACCCTGTGCCTGTACTGTGACTCTGTACCTGTAGAGGTGACTGTGATCCTGTGCCTGTAGAAGGTGACTATGACCCTGTACCTGTAGGTGACTGTAACCCTGTACTTGTAGAAGGTGACTGTGACCCTGTACTGACTGTGTCCCTGTACCTGTAGAAGGTGACTGTGACCCTGTGTCCTGTACAAGGTGACTGTGTCCCTGTACCTGTAGAAGGTGAAAGTGACTGTGACCCTGTACCTGTAGAAGGTGACTGTGTCCCTGTACCTGTAGAGGTGAAAGTGACTGTGACCCTGTACCTGTAGAAAGTGACTGTGATCCTGTGCCTGTAGAAGGTGACTGTGACCCAGCACCTGTAGAAGGTGAAGGTGACTGTGACCCTGTAGTGACTGTGACTCTGTACCTGTAGAAGGTGACTGTGACTCTGTACCTGTAGAAGGTGACTGTGACTCTGTACCTGTAGAAGGTGACTGTGACTCTGTACCTGTAGAAGGTGACTGTGACCCAGCACCTGTAGAAGGTGAAGGTGACTGTGTCCCTGTACCTGTAGAAGGTGAAAGTGACTGTGACCCTGTACCTGTAGAAAGTGACTGTGACCCTGTACCTGTAGAAAGTGACTGTGAACCTGTACCTGTAGAGGGTGACTGTGATCCTGTACCTGTAGAAGGTGAAGGTGACTGTGACCCTGTACCTGTAAAAGGTGACTGTGACCCTGTACCTGTAGAGAGGTGAACCTGTACCTGTAGAAGGTGACTGTGTGACTGTGACCCTGTAGAGTGACCTGTAAGAGGTGACTGTGACCCTGTACCTGTAGAAGGTGACTGTGACCCTGTACCTGTGAACTCCCTGTGCCTGTAGAAGGTGACTGTACCCTGTACCTGTAGAGGTGACTGTGACCCTGTACCTGTAGAGGTGACTGTGACCCTGTACTGTGTGACTGTGACCCTGTACCTGTAGAAGGTGAAGGTGACCCTGTACCTGTAGAAGGTGACTGTGATCCTGTACCTGTAGGTGACTGTGACCCTGTACCTGTAGAAGGTGAAGGTGACTGTGACCCTGTGCCTGTAGAAGGTGAAGGTGACTGTGACCCTGTACCTGTAGAAGGTGACTGTGATCCTGTACCTGTAGAGGTGACTGTGACCCTGTACCTGTAGAGGTGACTGACCCTGAACCTGTAGAAGGTGACTGTGACCCTGTACCTGTAGAAGGTGAAGGTGATTGTGATCCTGTACCTGTAGAAGGTGAAGGTGACCCTGTACCTGTAGAAGGTGTTTGTGGCCTGTACCTGTAGAAGGTGATTGTGATCTTGTACCTGTAGAAGGTTACTGTGACTGTGACCCTGTACATGTAGAAGGGGACTGTGACCCTGTACCTGTAGAAGGTGACTGTGACACTGTACCTGCTGTGACCCTGTACCTGTAGAAGGTGACTGTGATCCTGTACCTGTAGAAGGTGACTGTGATCCTGTACCTGTAGAAGGTGAAGGTGACCCTGTACCTGTAGAAGGTGACTGTGATCCTGTACCTGTAGAAGGTGACTGTGATCCTGTACCTGTAGAAGGTGAAAGTGACCCTCTACCTGTAGAAGGTGTAGGTGACAGTGACCCTGTACCTGTAGAAGGTGACTGTGACCCTGTACCTGTAGAAGGTGACTGTGATCCTGTACCTGTAGAAGGTGACTGTGATCCTGTACCTGTAGAAGGTGAAAGTGACCCTCTACCTGTAGAAGGTGTAGGTGACTGTGACCCTGTACCTGTAGAAGGTGACTGTGACTCTGTACCTGTAGAAGGTGACTGTGACTCTGTACCTGTAGAAGGTGACTGTGACTCTGTACCTGTAGAAGGTGACTGTGACTCTGTATCTGTAAAAGGTGAAAGTGACAGTGACCCTGTACCTGTAGAAGGTGACTGTGGCTCTGTACCTGTAGAAGGTGAAAGTGCTCATCATGGCTTTACAGCTCTGGTAATAGCAGATCATTATTACGCATCTGTAAGAGGTAACATCAATTTTGAAGCTAAAACATCAAGGTTGGAAAGTGACCATAACCAGATTTCTGTTGCACATGAAGGCAGTTGCAGACAAGTGTCTCCCACAGTGGAAAGTAAAGCCGTGGAAAGATGTGTAGAAGTGGATGAGGAGTCTGACTCTATTGGTGTGAGCAAAGGAGGTAAAGTTGACAGTGAAAAGGAGGTAGAGCCAGTCTGTCAGCCTATAGAAGAGAAACACAGTGCTGATGATCTACCACATACCATACAGAGAGAACCGGAGCTTGATTTGACAACCGGAAGCATAACACATGATGGTATCACACAGATAGAAGGAAATTTTTATGTTGATATTCAACCATGCATCAGAGATACTGGAGTGGCTGAACTTGACATGATGGTTGCAAGAACAAAACCTGGTAGTAATACGGGCAATGCCACAGACCTGCACAATCAAGCATTGGATGCATTAACTGTTGAAAAAGAAGATGGAGCTGGACTATCAATCATTGAGAAGCTTAGTGCTGCAGCTGATGATAGAAATATTAAGGTAGATGATGTCTCTGACTCGGCTGGGAGATGTGTTTCTATGTGTGAGCCTCTTTCAAAAGGACACACAATGGAAGTGCTTGACCAGTGTTACCAGGAGAAAAATGATGGGTTAGAAAGGAATATTTCTTGCGTTATATCTAGTGCAAGTAAAGAGGGGCAGCCAGCAGATAAAGATGCCAAGGACAGTTATGCATCGGAGCACCTACTTTCCCTGCTGCAGTTATCAGGCGCTCTAAGTAATAACAACAACCTCCTCCTGCTCCCTAGACCTTTTCTCACTGTGGAAATGGTAATGGCAGCCATTAATATAAGTTTATTCAGTGCAAATGATGTTTTTTCTTGGATTTGCAAGATTTGTAAATCTAAGAACAGAAGGTACACAGCACTGTTTGAACGTCAGTTCCTGCAGTATCTTCTATTGTATGAGTACATTACTAAAGAGGTCCATCTAGATCAAAAAGAGGCATGGAAAAATCTTATTCAGCAATCAATATATCGTATACCAAGAGGTTCTGGCATTAGTCTGATATTTGGGACAATTCCTGCGCTGTGTAAGAAGGAAGGAATATATCATTTTCCACATAGTTGTATGGATAAGTGTACTTGTGGGGATAATTTTTTTGGCCCATTAGGAAACCAGAGGAAGGATGGCACTCAAGGGTACTTGAAAAATGAGATTGCAAGGTTACGATTGGAACTGAAGGGCAAGGAGGAAGAGATTAGGTGTCAGCAAGAAAATTCAAAGGAGGAGGTTATAAAACTCAAGGAAGAACTCTGTAGACAACAAGACATATTGAAATTTGATGATGCCTTGAAGGCCGAACTTAAAAGTGCCTGGTGTATAATACAGACCCACAGGCAGGGGACCGACCACCTGTTAAATCAAACTACAGAGGGTGAGGAAATATACCTCATAAAACCCCATGATGTTTTGGTTATCCTACAGCAAATAGTTTTTGAAAAAGAATCCAATATCATTCAAATCCAAAAGAAGTTGAATACCTCTGAGGATAAGTTAAAAGCAAGAGATATAACTATCAGCCAACAACAAGAATCAATGTGCAAGAGTGAATGTGAGATGGCCAAAACTAAAGCTCATATAAAGCAGCTGCAGAAGGAGGTCATGTCTACTAAGAGTAAGTTAGAAGATTGTAAGAATGTAATATGTAATCAGCAGAAACAGTTGAAGAAATGGAATAATATGAGTTTTGACAAGCCACACGAGGAAAACTTGGCAAGATTGCGATTAGAGAAAGAACTCTGGAAACGTGACCAGCTGATTCACCAACAGAAAGAGGAAATAGCCCAGTTGGAGAGTGCAGCAAAAGCAGGTGTATCTCTCAGTGGTCAATTTCAATATCTTCAGACATTACATAGCCAGTTAGAATACGATTTACAACAAAAAGAAACCTTGATACAGACATTGAACCAAGAACTTAATTCATGTAAAAACATCAATTATGCAAAAGAAGCTTATATTAAGAAGCTTCACGATGAAAGAAATACATACTCAAAAACTGAACTGGAAGAGCGGCTTGTTTATTGTAATTCACTCTTAGTAGAAAAAGACAATAGAATCAGTGCTCTGCAAAGGGATCTAACCACATTACAAGAGAAGGAAAAGGAGAAAGAAACCCATGTGGAGAGTCTTGAGAAAGAGCCGAGTTATTATATGAGTGCCTCAGAAGAGCCTGAAGCCACAAGTTCCAATGACAGATGTTCAGTTACCAAAGATTTCCATGACCTCAACCTCCAGAAATATCAAGATCAGAAATACTTACAAAATCACCCCATGGGCAAAATTACTGGAAAGAAAATTAGTAAAGATTATAAATATTGTAAGGTATGTGCAGAATATGTTTTACTGTTGAAGAAGAAGGATGAACAAGTGAAGTTAGGTACAGATAGCATACTGGAACTGGAAAAAGAAGTGATTTATTTATATAAACAATTGAAGGACAGTCCATCCACAGACAAGAAAACTATACTACTTGAACATAGATCGAAAGTTTCAGAACTCAGACGTTGCATTTGTTCTCGAGAGCAAATGAATGCACAGTTAGAGGAGAGACTTAGAGCTCAGGAGATGTCAATCAAGAAATTGATAAGTCACATTGAGACTAAAGATGTTATACTGAGTTATTTACACCAACAATGTAATAAGAGTGATACATCCCCTGAGGTCTGTCAGGGAGAGAGAACTTTTTCACTTGTGACAGATGACAGCAAACATAAGTTTCTGGATGACCCGGAAGACAGTTGTGGTTTAGTGATGCAAAGGTCTCCTAAACAGTTAAAGATGGAAACTTCAGATAAAATATCTCTGAACCCAATAATTGAGGACTTACATTCATCTACTACTCGATGGGTATCCTTGGTTAGGCACCCTGAGACTTCACAAGAAAACACAGACAAAACAGTAGAAGAAGATTGTGTACCAAGTACTTCTGCTGCTAAAGAAGCAAATTGCAATAAAAAAGTAGTTATTAAAGAACTACAACACACGAAAATCACTCTCTCCGATTACCGTGTGAGAAATAAACAACGGGAACATCTTAAAACAATAGTAGAGGAAAATCCACCTTTACCTTGTAGTTCATACAGCAGCAAACAGGGCATGAAGAGGAAGAACTGTGTCACAGAAGTGGTGAAAACTTGTATGGACAACTCAAGTTCTGGGTCAGAATGGAAGAACAAACATTCAGAGAAAAAGAGAAAGATTATTTCAAGTGAAAACTTTCACACAGAATTAGATATAAAAAAGAACCCTAAAACCTGTTCAGGGCCTGGAAAATACAGAAGTGCTGTAAAAGAATCATATCAAACATTACCACCAAGATCAACATCAAATAAACCAAGAAGTTACAAATGTACACAGCAGCCATCAGAAGGCTGTGGGGAGGAAAAGAATCAGAAGAATTATAGGGAGGAGTTAGTGAGATTAAAAAAGGTGTTAGAGCTTTTCAAAGTGAAGAATGAAAAGGTTTATGAAGAAAAGAAGAAATTAGAGAAGAGACTTTGTGAAAGAGAGATAACTATGGCTCAGCTGGTGAAAGATAAGAGTAATGTAGAGATGCAGCTGAGACAGAGTGATACAGCTCTGGCCATAATAGAGAATGACCGAGGGAGGATATATGCTCTTCACCAAATACTTGAGCATAATCATCAGAATGCAATAAATACCAAGAATGAACTCGTTGATCTTATCTTCCTAAAAGAGGAGGCCCTGAAGTTGTCTCAGGAGGAGGTGACCACATTGAAATTGATCATAGAGCAAAGTCACAAATCACACAGAGATGATGTGGAAGAGTTGAAACGATGTATTATTGTGAAGGGTGCAGATATTGATAGACTAATGGTTGAGAATAAGATGCTGAAGGAGGTGTGTAAGGAAAATGAGAATTTACTCAAAATTACTGAGCAGTTAAAAAAGGATCTATATGAGAAAAATAATATGGTGGATGCACAAAGAATTGAGAAAGACTTGTTGATGAAAGAACTAAAAGAAAAAGACATGAACCTTAAAATTAAACTGGAAGAAAAGGTACAGTTAGAAACTATCTTGCAAGAACAGCTGACAAATGTAATCACTATAGAAGAGGAAAAAAATTGTTTGGAACGGAAATTATTGGAGATTGAGACCAAAATCAAATCCATAACAGAAGAAAACCTTGATAAAGAAAAAACAGTGAGAGAGAGTGAGCAGGAGGCAGCATTGTTAAGGCAAAAGGTAGAAGCTTTGGAAGCCACTTTAGTGGAAAAAACGAGAGATTTATCATTAATGCAAAAAGAGTTACGTAACATACAAATATCAAGAAAAAAAGATTTAGTTCTTGCAGAGAAACAAAAACAAGAATTGGCTAAACTACAGCTTCAAGTCTCCAGTGAACACATATTTGAGAAAGAGAGAATGGAAGCTCTTGTCCACAGTCTTAAGAATACCATCATCTCTGAGAGGGAAAAGTCAAGAATTATTAAAAAGGAAGCAGATGACAAATTAGCTCTGGGAGAACAAGAAATGCTTACACTCAAGAGATATAAAGAACACGTGGATATAGAAATTAGGGAAAATACTCAGAAATATTTAGCAAGTCAGAAAGAATTAGAGGAGGCACATAAAGCAAATACAATCCTCTCAGACCAGTTCAAAGACATTCAAGCCAACAGGTGTTTGATTAGAAAGGAATTAAAGCTTGAATCACCAGCTACCAAGACTGTGAATCTGAGAGAGGAACTTGATAGTGTGTGTAGACTTAATCATTTGTTAAAGGAGCAGAAAAGGAGGATTACAATGCTTAAGCATGAGCTGTTGGGAGAAGATTCAAGAAACAAGAAGCTCTTGAAGCGGTTGCAGATTATAAGAGGAGAGAAAGCTAATGAAAAGAGAAAGGCTAAGAAAGATAACAAGGTACATGTGAATACAGAATGCCAAACTACACTTTCACTGGGTAATGATTTAGACATAAATATAGAAAGCATGAAAAATTTGCAAACTGCTTTGGAAATAGAAAAACGAGTATCAGAAAGCTTTAGCGAGAAGCTGTTATTAGAACAGAAAAAGTCACTGATTTTAGCCACCGGCCTTAAACGAGAGTATGAAGAGTGTTCAAAAGACTTGGAATATCAACTCTCACTCTTTGCTTGGGTTGCAGAGAAATACAGGGCAAAGATGCATAGGGTTGAAGAGTTGACTGCTCTGAGTGTGTCCAGTGACACAGCAGAAGAAGACATGTTTGCTGATGGTCAAGGACAGGAAGCTCAGGAATAATTTAATCCTTCAGTTGATTGGGTGTACAGTACCGTATATTTAGTATGTATTGCTGTAATAACTTTGAAATGCAGTACAGTACTGTATAATGTTTAATATCAGGTTTAACGTAGTGTACACCTTGGTAAGGCACCTATTATAAAAGACCAACTATTATTATTATTATTATTATTATTATTATTATTAAAGAACTTACAAAAAGAGTAACTGTGTTAGGGTGTGTTAATACTATACTGTACATCACTGTGTTAGGGTGTGTTAATACTATACTGCACAGCACTGTGTTAGGGTGTGTTAATACTATACTGTACATCACTGTGTTAGGGTGTGTTAATACTATACTGTACATCACTGTGTTAGGGTGTGTTAATACTGTACTGTACATCATTGTGTTAGGGTGTGTTAATACTATACTGTACATCACTGTGTTAGGGTGTGTTAATACTGTACTGTACATCATTGTGTTAGGGTGTGTTAATACTGTACTGTATAGTACTGTGTTAGGGTGTGTTAATACTGTACCAAAGCATCATGTTAAAGTGTGTTAATACTGTACCTACAGGTCACTGTGTTAGTGTGTTAATACTGCTACATCACTGTGTTAGTGTTATTTATACTGCACAGCACTGTGTTAGGTGTGTGTTAATACTAGTTTCGCACAGCACTGTGTTAGGTGTGTTATCATTTATACTGTGCCAGCACTGTGTTAGGTGTGTTAATACTATACTGTACATCACTGTGTTAGGTGTGTTAATACTATACTGCACAGCACTGTGTTAGGTGTGTTAATACTATAATGCACAGCACTGTGTTAGGTGTTAATACTGTACTGCAGCATCACTGTAAGAAAGCATTTACTGCATCACTGTGTTAGGGTGTGTTAATACTATACTGCACAGCACTGTGTTAGGGTGTGTTAATACTATACTGCACAGCACTGTGTTAGGGTGTGATAATACTATACTGCACAGCACTGTGTTAGGGTGTGTTAATACTGTACTGTACAGCACTGTGTTAGGGTGTGTTAATACTGGGTACTGTACATCACTGTGTGTTAGGTGTGTTAATACTATACTGTACATCACTGTGTTAGGGTGTGTTAATACTATACTGCACAGCACTGGCACTGTGTTAGGGTGTGTTAATACTATACTGTACATCACTGTGTTAGGGTGTGTTAATACTATACTGCACAGCACTGTGTTAGGGTGTGATAATACTATACTGCACAGCACTGTGTTAGGGTGTGTTAATACTGTACTGTATAGTACTGTGTTAGGGTGTGTTAATACTGTACTGTACATCACTGTGTTAGGGTGTGTTAATACTATACTGTACATCACTGTGTTAGGGTGTGTTAATACTGTACTGTATAGTACTGCATTAGGGTGTGTTAATACTATACTGTACATCACTGTGTTAGGGTGTGTTAATACTATACTGTACAGCACTGTGTTAGGGTGTGTTAATACTATACTGCACAGCACTGTGTTAGGGTGTGTTAATACTATACTGTACATCATTGTGTTAGGGTGTGTTAATACTGTACTGTATAGTACTGTGTTAGGGTGTGTTAATACTATACTGTACAGCACTGTGTTAGGGTGTGTTAATACTGTACTGTACATCACTGTGTTAGGGTGTGTTAATACTATACTGCACAGCACTGTGTTAGGGTGTGTTAATACTATACTGCACAGCACTGTGTTAGGGTGTGTTAATACTATACTGTACATCACTGTGTTAGGTGTGTTAATATTATACTGCACAGCACTGTGTTAGGGTGTGTAATACTATACCGTACATCACTGTTAGGTGTGTTAATACTACCTGTACATCATTGTGTTAGGTGTGTTATACTATATATAGTACTGTTAGTGTGTTAATACTATACTGCACAGCACTGTGTTAGGGTGTGTTAATACTATACTGTACATCACTGTGTTAGGGTGTGTTAATACTATACTGCACAGCACTGTGTTAGGGTGTGTTAATACTATACTGTACATCACTGTGTTAGGGTGTGTTAATACTGTACTGTACATCATTGTGTTAGGGTGTGTTAATACTGTACTGTATAGTACTGTGTTAGGGTGTGTTAATACTGTACTGTACATCACTGTGTTAGGGTGTGTTAATACTATACTGCACAGCACTGTGTTAGGGTGTGTTAATACTATACTGTACATCACTGTGTTAGGGTGTGTTAATACTATACTGCACAGCACTGTGTTAGGGTGTGTTAATACTATACTGTACATCACTGTGTTAGGGTGTGTTAATACTGTACTGTACATCATTGTGTTAGGGTGTGTTAATACTATACTGTATAGTACTGTGTTAGGGTGTGTTAATACTATACTTCACAGCACTGTGTTAGGGTGTGTTAATACTATACTGTACATCACTGTGTTAGGGTGTGTTAATACTATACTGCACAGCACTGTGTTAGGGTGTGTTAATACTATACTGTACATCACTGTGTTAGGGTGTGTTAATACTGTACTGTACATCATTGTGTTAGGGTGTGTTAATACTGTACTGTATAGTACTGTGTTAGGGTGTGTTAATACTGTACTGTACATCACTAACACTATAATTAATTCACTTGTTTACCTCACCAAATTTCTGTGTGTTGTTGAATATTACTTTTACTTTTATTCTCTTCACCACTGATCGGCTCGTTAGCCGCTTGGGCGATCGGTCACGTCTCTGTTACGCGCTGTTGGCAAATATTGTCAGGCTCCCATGTGTGAAATGTTTGATTTGCTTTTTAAGGAAAATTAAAAAGGCTACATTTTTCTTTCCTTGTAATAAAATAAGTTTGATTCATATAAATATCATGGTAGTTTTAGTTAATTTACCATGTAATTAAAGTTTCTGTTGATATGTACTGTAATATTTTGATTTTATTGTATTGTGCCAGATGTTCAGCTTAAGGTAAAGCTTGTACTCTTGATGTACTGTATGTTAAAAATTTTCAAATACTGTACATTATAATTAAGACAATGTGCAGATGAGCACATGACACTAACATCTGCAACACCAGAGAAACAAAATTGTAACTACGAATTGTGTGTTGAATTAATTGGAATGAGACATATTAATACTGTATCATTTTCTTAATCAATGATAAGTACAAATCTGTAGCATTTAATTACTGTACAAAGTAAGTGTTATAATTGTAAAGTAACTAAAACATAAGTAATTAACCCAAAACTTGGGAGGTTAGGTTGAACATCTGTTATCGGCAAAGGAGTTTCAAAGAATGAGACTGTCTTCTGTTGTCAGTTTACTTTTAGTATGAAGTTTACACCTTTGTATTTCTTTATAAGTTATTGCCACCATACATTATATATAGTATACAGAATATCTTTATTTCTCTTGAGATGGACTGTCTGTCATGGTATCTTTAAAATGTAAATACAGTACTCTGTGTACAACAGTCCGACCTAATCACATTAAAGATTTACAATTAATTTTCTGATATTGCAATTTTTTTTTATTTTATGTTTGATGGATTGAACGTGTCAAAAAGTGCTTGATTGTTTTATTAAGGATTACCTTGTATAGTTATGCAGTAGTTAAGTTCATGGATCAGCAGCCACACTTGATATGCATCCTTGCCATGCTTGAACTTTTGGCACCACAGTAAAATTCACGTCAGCCCTGCTTCAAAAATCAAGAAATTTAGTGAAAGTGTCTTAATTATATTTTGTGACAGTGTGCTTGCTTCCTATCCTGTGGGTTTCTAATCCATGCATGGTGCACCCTCATCCCACCCATCTGTAAATGGGTGTCTAACATTATGCAGATGGGTAAGTGAAGGCTGATTGCAATGCTGACCACACTGCCTCCCTGTATGTGGGTTTAACCCAATAACTGTGGCATTTGGAAAATCGTGTGTACGCTATACTGTGTATACTACAAAAAAATAAAATACGTTTTTTAAGTGACATGGAAAGTAACTGGCAACTGCTGAGTGCTGGTTGTTGTTGTGATGCAAGAGGTGGTTGTGGTCAGTGGCAGCTCATCTATAGGGGCTGCAGCTCCCCCTACAAAACTGCTGGACTTATGAGACATCTACTTCTATACTTTTTTACTTTTTACTTTTATCCTCTTCACCACTGAACGGCTCATTAGCCGCTTAGGCGATCGGTCACGTCTCTGTCACGCACTGTTGGCAAGTACTGGGCATGCACCGGCTCCAGAATGTACCTAAATCTGCTCCAGTGTTGGTCAAGTCTTGTCTTGAAAGAGCTCGCACTCGGTGCCGTCACAACACTCTCTGGTAGATTGTTCCAAGAGTTCACAACTCTCACTCTGAAAAAGTTTGCCCTCACAGTTTTCTGGACTTGCAGCTTCATCAATCTTGAGCTGTGACCCCTTGTGGGGCAAGCATCCGCCAGCTCCAAGTAAGGAAACTCGACTGAGTAGTGCCCCCTGAGATGCTTATACACCTCTATTAGGTCATCCCTTGCCCGTCTGTAGTATAAGCTAGGCAAGTTCAGGCGCTCCAATCTCTAAGGGTAGTTGAGGTGCCGAAATGCAGGCACCAGTTTGGTGGCCCTCCTTTGAACATTTTCAACCAACTGACAGTCCCTAGCATATCTCGGGGACCAGATGGGGTGACAGTACTCCAGATGGGGAAGCACTTCACTCTTGGAGATTGTTACGAGGCACGGACCGTCTAGATATCTGAACGACTTTCTTATAAGACCCAATAATTTATTTGCCTGATTTACCTTCTTCTTGCAATGGCCCAAGAACTTCAGCTCATTGTCAACATACACACCTAGGTCCTTCTCACATTCAGTCTCCAATAGTGCAGTTTCTTCATCCCGTTAGGACATAGGATACGCCTCCTTACCGTTGGTACGCCCCAGGTGCATCCTCTTACACTTCGTGACATTGAATCTCAGCAGTCATTTCTTTAACCATTCTTGGAGCCCACAGAGGTCCTCCTGCAGTTCTTCACAGTCCGCTTGGTTCTTGATTTCCCGAAATAACTTGGCGCCATCGGCAAACATTTGTATGGAGGAGTGTACAATTTCAGGCATGTCATTTATGAAACAAACAGATAACAGCGGGCCCAATACACTGCCCTGCGGTACTCTGCTTGTGACAGGTACGGATGATGATTTTGTGCCATTAATCACCACACTGCTTGTGGTCATGTAGAAAGTCTTCTATCCATGCTAGGACATTTCCCCGAATTCCGTACCCTTCCAGTTTGATTTTCAGCCTTTCGTGGGGAACACTGTCGAAAGCCTTGGGAAAATATAGGTAAATATTGTCAATATTACCACCCTGTTCCAGAATATGGGTCCAAATATCCAATACCTTGAGCAATTTTGTTAAGCAGGAGTGCCCCGGCATAAAACCGTGTTGGCAATCCTTTACAAGGTTGTTTCGTAGTAGATGTTCCATCGCGGCATTTCTGATAATACAGCTCCTCCCTGATTTACGACGGGGTTAGGGACCCAAATCCAGGTCGTAAGTCGAAAATGTTTAAATAATATATAGAAAATCTAAAATGGGTGTCTCTTTTTCTTCTCAGCACCACAAAACTCTCACTTTTAAGCTTGCCAGCCATTTTAAAGTGAATTACAAAGGAAAATTTTGTCAGTACACAGCGCAATCACTGACGTTGGGACTCGAAAATACGTAATTTGATTTAATTTTGGTACGACTGAGGCAGGTCGTAAGTTGGGAAGGAGCTGTACACTCAAGTACTTTACATATTGTGTTGGTCAGGCTCACCGGTCTATAGTTGTTCGTGGAGTGACATCGCCCTTCTTGAAGATAGGACTCCCATAAGCCACTTTCCATTCACTGGAGACCTTTTGTTCATACAGGCATTTACAAAACGGGATCTGTAGGGGCTCGGCACAACTAGTTGCACAACTCTCTTAGCACTCTAGGATGCACCATGTCAGGGCCGGGACTCTTATGGACCTTTTGCTTTGACATTTTATTTCTAATACCCTCTTCTGTGAACACAATGTGGGTCAATTGCTGTGTCGAACCGTCTGTCCTCAAACGCAGGAAGGTTAATCGCATCCTCTCTTGTGAACACCGAGGAAAAGAAGTTGTTCAATGCCTCAACTTTATCCTGGTCAGAATCTGCATAACTACCTTCTTCAATCTTCAGGTCTGATACTCCTACTCGTGTTTCTAATTTTGACTTTGCATAGTGGTAAAACGCCTTTGGGTTTGACTTGACCTCGCTTGCAACCAGCCTCTGGAACTCCTTTTCAGCCCTTGTACATTCTATCTTTGCTTGGTTTCTGGCGCTTGCATACATCCTGTCCTCATTGTTTGACCCAACCCATGTCTTGAATTTCTGGGTTTTCTTCTTTACTTTGTCGACCGCCGCATGGTTCATGTGTAGGGATCCCCTCCTATTCCTAGAGGCACTGGGTTTACTTTTTACTTTTTACTTTTATCCTCTTCGCCACTGATCGGCTTGTTAGCCGCTTGGGCGATCGGTCACGTCTCTTTTCCTTTATATTCTTCACCAAAAGGTCGGCTCGCTAGCCGCCTGGGCGATCGGTCACGTCTCTGTCACGCACTGTTGGCAAATACTGGGCGCTGCACCGGCTCCTGAATGTACCTGAACCCGCTCCAGTGTTGGTCAAGTCTTCTCTTGAAAGAGCTCACACTCGGTGCCGTCACAACACTCTGGTAGATTGTTCCAAGAGTTTACAACCCTCACTCCGAAAAAGTTTGCCCTCACAGTTTTCTGGACTTGCGCTTCTTCAATCTTGAGCTGTGACCCCTTGTGGGGCGAGCGTCCGCCAGCTCCAAGTAAGGACACTCAACTGAGTAGTGCCCCCTGAGATGCTTATAAACCTCAACTAGGTCCCCCCTTGCCCGTCTGTAGTATAAGCTAGGCAAGTTCAGGCGCTCCAATCTCTCAGGGTAGCTGAGGTGCCGAAATGCAGGCACCAGTTTGGTGGCCCTCCTTTGAACATTTTCAACCAACTGACAGTCCCTAGCATATCTCGGGGACCAGATGGGGTGACAGTACTCCAGATGGGGAAGCACTTCACTCCTGAAGATCGTCACGAGGGACGGACCGTCTAGATATCTGAACGACCTTCTTATAAGACCCAATAATTTATTTGCCTGATTTACCTTCTTCTCACAATGGCCAGAGAACTTCAGCTCATTGTCAACATACACACCTAGGTCCTTCTCACACACAGTCTCAACTACGTAGTACATTTTCTTCATCCCGTTGGGATATATGGTACGCCTCCTTACCGTTGGTTTGGTCTTGGGTATATATTTATCGATCAAATGGGTCACTTTACTAGTTATGATATTCAGCATAGTGTCTGCGTTCTTGTGCCTTAATGAATCAGGCCAGTTGATACCCCTCATCTCTAACCTCATCCCATTGTAATTTCCCCTGTAGTATTTGCATCTTGGCCTGGCCTTATCTTGAACTAGATAACAGATAAATCTGAATGACAACACTATATGGTGACTGGTGCCAACTGGAGCAAGATGCTCCAGTTTGGTCACCATACCCTCCTCGTTTGTTATGATGAGGTCAAGTGGCTTGGGTGTTTGCTCCCCTCTGTAATGTGTCGGGTCTCTAACATGTTGGAACAGAAAATTATCTCTCAGAGTTTCTACAAAAAGAGTAGCAGGGTTATTCATGTCATTTGGGGTTAACTCGTTTCTCCAGTCGATGTCGCCATAGTTAAAGTCCCCCTTGATAGGGAGGTGGCTAGGGTTGAGCATCGCTGCATTGTGTATTAAGGCTCTTAAGTTCCTTTGATTCAGTGGGTCACAGTTTGGGGATCTGTAGATATACCCGACAATAAGTAAGTCTCCTCCCTTTAATTTAAATTTACACCACTTGGACTATTCAAAAGCATCCTCTCCTTGTATCCTCGCATGGCTGGCTCTAAGGTCTTGCCTAGCATAGATAACCGCACCTTTCTTGCAAGTTTTTTGTTTAAGGTTCGTAAATGAGTCATATCCAGCAATACTGAACTCGCATTCCTCTGGGTCGATTCTCCTGTTCTTGTACAACAGTTTGGCGACTCTTACAATATCTGGTTGGTGTACCTTCAGTATTTTACTGGACTTGCGGCTTCTTCAATATTGAGCTGTGACCCCTTGTGGGGCGAGCGTCCGCCAGCTCCAAGTAAGGTTCATGTGTAGGGGTCCCCTCGTATTCCCAGAGGCACTGGGTTTTCATCTTGGGTATATATTAATCGATGGGTCACTTTACTACTTATGATATTTAGCATAGTATCTACATTCTTGTGCCTTTAGTGACTCCGGCCAGAGGCTACCCCTCATCTCCCCCTTTATCTCACCTGATCGGGTCACGTCTTGTCACTCTGTTGCACTGCTTCACTCAAACCTGACTGAGCAAACTCAGTTAGCGCCCAATCTCTAAGGGTAGTTGAGGTGCCAAAATGCAGGCACCAGTTTGGTGGCCCTCCTTTGAACATTTTCAACCAACTGACAGTCCCTAGCATATCTCGGGGACCAGACGGGGTGCCACCAAACTGGTGCCTGCACTTCGGCACCTCAGCGACACTGAGAGATTGGAGCGCCTGAACTTGCCTAGCTTATACTACAGACGGGCAAGGGGGGACCTAGTTGAGGTGTATAAGCATCTCAGGGGGCACTACTCAGTTGAGTGTCCTTACTTGGAGCTGGCGGACGATCGCCCCACAAGGGGTCACAGTTCAAGATTAAAGAAGCCTCAAATCCAGAAAACTGTGAGGGCAAACTATTTCGGAGTGAGAGTTGTAAACTCTTGGAACAATCTACCAGAGAGTGTTGTGACGGCACCGAGTGTGAGCTCTTTCAAGAGAAGACTTGACCAACACTGGAGCGGGTTCAGGTACATTCAGGAGCCGGTGCAGCGCCCAGTACTTGCCAACAGTGCGTGACAGAGACGTGACCGATCGCCCAAGCGGCTAACGAGCCGATTAGTGGCGTAGAGGATAAAAAAAAAAGTACTGATGCGGAAGCACTTCACTCTTGGAGATCGTTACGAGGCACGGACCGTCTTGATATCTGAACGACTTTCTTATAAGACCCAATAATTTATTTGCCTGATTTACCTTCTCGCAATGCCCCGAGAACTTCAGCTCATTGTCAACATACACCCACGTAATTTTCCTTGTAATATTTACCGAAGTTCATTGTGTGTATGTCTGCAGCATATACATTGTTTGTATACCTACACTCTATATATACGTACATTGGTTATATATATTGTGTACATGTTGGACCAATATGATTATGAACTTATCAAAGAATTAACATCTAACTGTTAATAAATTGGAGTTATGTAAATCGGTATCTAAGACTGAATTATATTAACGGGTAAAAGCGATTGAATAAATGGTAAAATCGAATGCAATAATTTTATAACGATAAATTGATAAGGAATAAGTTTATAATAAGTGAAGGTGTCCCCCAGTGTTTGTTGTCGTCCAAATGTGAAGGTGTGAGCCTCTGAGCTGCTTCAAGCGCACCACTTTATTTCCTATCATTTTAAGTCCATTAACACGAATTTTCCCACGCATATTTCATGGTAACTATGACAAAAAGTAATAAAAACACAAATAAATAAGTAGTTTATGAGGTAACATCAGAGTAAAACACGACCATAACACAGCCAGCAAACATGGCCGGTCGGGCGCATGTTGACGACTCCGTGATTGAGAGAAGACTACGGCCTATTTACGGTGAGTCTTCCGGTCAGTTTAATTCTGGAGAAAGATGAAGGTGTTGCTGGACCTCCTGGGGTGACAGAGAGCTGGTTAGTTATGGGAGATAAGGGCTCGGAAGGAAGAAGACGACCTCCTCCACACTGGCAGATCTGATATGGAGTAACTTGGTGTATTGTCTGTCACTTTCCTGGACCTAAAGCTTTTCCTTCCCCGTAGTTACTAAAGGGGGTTAAGGGCCATAGTTGAGAAGAACACACCCTCGAGCCCTGAGCCTACTTTCTGGGGGGTCACTAGTTATCTTTGGCCATTAGGTTCTTTTCTTGGCAGTTCGTTCCTTGGGTATTTCATCATTATTCCATAGTCCATTAGCGTTTTGTAACTTGGCCCATTAATCCTTTGGCCGCTAGTTGTCTCTGGTAACTGAAGTGCACTTGTCTTGTCATGTCCTAGAGGGTGTTGGTGGTACAGTGGTTAATGCCAATCGCTTACCACTGTCATGGGTTCAAGTCCTGACTGGGAGAGATGTAATAAGGGTGTTATCCAGTGTGACCTTACCAAACATCACAGGCTTTCTCCAAGTACTTCAGTTACTAACACTGAACAATGAAGGTGGTACAAGAAAACAGACCAACCACCTGAACGACTTTTCAGTTGATAAGTGGTGAAATGATAAGTAATGTAACACTTACCTTTAGTGTCGCATGTAAACCACTTACTTTCGATTATGTAATGAGGACAACTACTTTATGTCAAGAACACCTCAAATTAGTTGCAGGAATGGGTGTTTTCATATTTAACATTTTTCAACAGATTTTCGCCTTCAGTATTAATCTAAGGCCACTCGCAGTGTTACATCAATACCATTTTGCTTATTTATATAACTACAACTACCTCCAGTGACTGTTACATAATTTAATTCAAACAATATTAGATAAACCAATCTAACCTACCTAACCTAATTAACCCATGAAGTGCGGTGGTTTTGCTGCCTAAATGCGACACCGGCAATGCACACATTCACATGAATTCATAATAATTTTGTTATCTCACTTATTTCACAATTATTTGGTGCTATTGGAATCATTGGAAATTTTTATTAGTAATATGTGTAGTGGATATTTTGCCATGACCAGTTAAGTTCCTACTAATGCTATTTTACCATGAGTTGTGCTCTGATTGGCTAAGAAGTTAGGTAAGGTTAGGTAGGTTTCTTTGATTGGTTAAGACAGGTTCTGTTAGGTTCTAGTAAATGTCACATCTTTTATAATGAAAAGTTTCCATGAACAACAGAAATATGGTAAGGTATGTTTGTAGCTACACAACGATAGACTCATGGCAAAATAAATGCCAAATACTGCCAGTTTCAGTTAAATGTAGTTCATGCTTTGTTCGCTAGTAATACTGTAGATGATTAACCAATCAGCGCACTCCTGCTAAAATAACGTTGGTAGGAACTTAGCCAGTCACGACAAAATATCAATTGCCAATAATATACTAATGGTATTTGAATAACAATGTAATATGATAACCAATATGAAATAAAAAGTCAGTGTAATTTTTTTGTACATGCCACTTTCTACTTTTGAGCTTCTTAGCTCTATGAACTTATACAATATAATAATCTTTTATTTTTATGCTAAATAATAGCACAGTTTAGTTGAGAAAAAGCTAAAAAAAATCATAAAATGTTAATAATAAATAATGTGACAATGATGCTGAATGAATGCGCATCAGATCACATTTATAGCATTATATTTGACTCCCCTCTTGTCCACCCACACATGCGTGATTCAAATTGGTCCCCTAAAAATAAAGCTTAAGCTGGTACAGTATCTTTTTTTTTTGTCCTGCCTGCTCATTTATTGGTTGGTTTAGGCAATGGCGTAATAAAAGTCACGCCTCAGAGTGTGACGTATGTAGGCAGGCCGTTTAAATATTGACGCTCGTCCTTCATCGGTATGAACAGCGTCTCTTATTGAGACACATTGCACTTCATGGGTTAAAATATATTGCACCCTGATTACATAAGATTAGGTATATACTGATAGGTTTGGTCTGGTTGCTGGTAGGTGTTTGTATGTAAGCAAAGAGAAGATGGTGGATGTAGGAGACATACCTTTATTATTTATAGTACAGTACTGTAGTGAAAACAAAATAGAGAAAAAAATATATGATAATTTCAATTCCTTTAAGTGTTTTCGATATTAGGGTTGGGGCATTATTTTTGGGGGTGGCACGATCCATCCTAGCTTTCTAGGGGCCTACAAATGAGCCATAATTAATTTACAAATGCTGACTTTGCCCCCCTCAAGGAAAAATTAAATGACGCTTTTGCATTAGGGTGGTTTACCTGCCACACTCGGTAGAGTGTGAGAATTAGTCAGTAAAAAAACACAAATAATAGAATAATTAAGATTAGATGTGGAAAATTTAAAGTGAAATGTAAATTTAAAAATAATATGACATCAAAATGAGTTGTGAAATGTGTTGAAATAAAGAAGAAATTCTCAGCACTTGTGTTAGTGTCTAACGTACAAAGACTTTAAACAAGAACATTAAGACAATAGGAACAATAACAGAAACTATGAAATCATGAGAAGGGAACACTTAATGATTTAATTTTTCTTAGAAATTTTGGATCTCATGAAGATTAGGCACCCCAGCTTATTAAACCTGATGATCAAACACTGTATTGGGGGGTTAGGCTACAGTAGGTTTGGTAAGGTTAGATGACAATAAGTTAGGTAAGGTTACAGTAGGTTTTGGCTTGGTTAAGTAAGATTACTGTAGGTTTGGTTAGGTCAGATTACAGTAGGTTTGGTTAGGTTAGATTACAGTAGGTTTGGTTAGGTCAGATTACAGTAGGTTTGATTAGGTTAGATTACAGTAGGTTTGGTTAGGTCAGATTACAGTAGGTTTGGTTAGGTTAGATTACAGTAGGTTTGGTTAGGTCAGATTACAGTAGGTTTGGTTAGGTCAGATTACAGTAGGTTTGGTTAGGTCAGATTACAGTAGGTTTGGTTAGGTCAGATTACAGTTGGTTAGGTTAGATACAGAAGGTTTGGGTAGGTTTGGTTAGGTTAGATACAGAAGGTTTGGGTAGATTGCGGTAGGTTTGGTTAGGTCAGATTACAATAAGTTTGGTTAGGTTAGATACAGTAGGTTTGGTTAGGTTAAATTAGGTTTCTCTTGGTTAGTGTAGTTACTGGGTATCTAATCATCCGTTGATATAAGTGGGGGTTCCTCATCTTCTGTGATCCAAAATGTCAAAATCAAGAGACAGAATCTTACACACCAGAAAATGAAAAACAAAGGCTAAAGGAATACCACAAGAAGGTATAAAAGAACACCATTCAACCAATTGTTGCTGATATCTGGGCTGATCATGCCAGACTACCAGAAGCAACAACACCAGCAGCCCCCCCCCCCCTGTACGCTCTAAGCTGATGTGAAAAGGGAAAAAAACAGTCTAGATGTGGGGCTAGAGAGTACCCATCTGTCAGGCTGTGATTAGTTAGTGTGCATGATGTCATGTTTTCCAAAGCAAGCAGCACAAACCCATTAATCTAGCTAATTTAACTTATCCTAACTAATCTATAACTGCCCTTACCTAAACTACACCTACCCTAATCTAATCTACACCTCTCCTAATTTAACCTTACTTAATTTACCCTAACCATCCATAATCTAACCATGTATTCCTAGCCTAAGCTATCCCAACTTCACCTTAAACCCTTCATTATGGGGATACAAATTTTAATCATTTATTTGGCAAACGTCAGATGATTTTATTCAGCTGAGAGAGGAGTCCATGCAAATAGGGTTAGTATCCACTAACCCCTTCACTACGGGGAGGCCAATTTTATGGAGCTGACCTAATTATTGGGGAGATCATTATTTTGAAGCCCCTGAAAACAGTGAATTGATTTAAAATGTTTCCTGTGAATCTTAAAAAGCCTTTTATGAACATAGATTCCACTGGAACATTAACTTTTTGTACACAAAATAAAATTGTATAACTATGATATTCAATACTGTACTGTACTTATTTCTTGTTATACCACCAGAAAACAATATCACATGAAGAAACAAATTGTATGTCAATAAGTGTACTGTGTACAGGTACTGTACTGTACAGTGTATGTTTATGAGAGATACTAACAAATTTTTTTAGATAATTTATGTTATTTCTAACTAAATTTTTACCACATATGATTTCATTTTTAAACCTAATAATGAATTTTATTTTATTGAGTAGTATTTCCATGCAAGACATGGAAATACTGTACACACGGGTGTAGAGTATTTTGATTAGAAATTCTAATGTTTCAGGTTATATTAAAAAGCTGCATGTAAACTCCACCATTAGCTTAAAATTATATTAAGCATTTCCCACACAGTGTTGGAAAGGTGCCAAGAACAAGTCTGGCAGTCAGTGGGAAGTAGACGTGGCCAACCCTGAGAAGCTACTGTGAATTATGGCATGAATCTCTGCAGGATTATTTTAGTGTGTGTACTGTGCTCAAAAGCTGCTTGCAGAAACCTATTTTAATTTGTTTTCATGTGCCAAGCTTGTGATGACATTGTACAGTACAATCAGTAGATGAGAGAAGGCATTAGGTATATCAGAGAAATAAGATAAATATTTAAATAGCTAACTAATATACCAGGTATATTTTATTTTACCTGATGATTATACTCCTTATTGCTACCTGGGTTAGGTTATCATTAGGTTGTTTAATCATTAGATGAATTAAGCTGGGGTGCCTATTGCTTGTGTGATCCATATAGCAATGTCATATCTGTGAATCAGAAAGCTTGAGCCAGTGACATAAAGAGGAATTATAATAGGATTATTGTTGTATGATGTTGGGCTCTTATTTAAAGTGTACAGTAGGTGTGTAATTTGTTTTAATCGCCAGTAACAATACAGATTTGTTTTATATATTGGTCTTGGCTTTTGAAGATAATTTCTGCATTAACTGTTGTGTCCCTTTTCACTATTGGGATACCACATTTTATGTTTTACTTGGCTAATGCTAGACAATTTTATTCAGCACAGTGAGATTCAGGGGCTAAAAGAGGATGTGAAAATGTGGATAATGGTGTAGTGTAGGTTAGCTTAGTAATATTTTGTTTTCTACGGGATTTTCACTGGGGTCATCCTCGTAGCCAGAGATATTTTCCAAATATTATGTATAGAGATTTCATTAGAAGTGAAATTCCACGCTATAAGTTGATAATACCGTACATGATGATGACAGAAGTAAAGAAGACAAAATAATAAAGAAATCTTTATTTGTAATGTTCTATTACTGGAGGTGGTCTTATCTCAAGTTATTCCTATTTCCCATAAATAGAAAAATCAATGATTGTGAAATCTCTTATGATAGAGTATCATTTTTGATGTTATGTGGTAACTATATACTGTATGGCAACTGGAAATTCAACAAAATTCAAGCTATATTGGAAAAAATAAGTTTGTGTGGCGAACACAGAATTGTAGTTCCTGTTTTTAAAGAGGTTGAAACCAGTAGTTAATCCACTTGTGCTGGACTCTTACAAAAATAAAAATTTTTGATATTGACAGAACAGTACTGTACTGTAAGTACATATTATACTTTATAGGTTTAAAGGATCATGGCCTGAACTATCATGTTTGTACTAATTTAATGTGTACAGTGATTCTTTAGACTAATAGATACAGGGGGGTATACATTAAAGTGCTGTATATAGTACAGTATTTATACTGTACTGTAGTTATAATTATCTTATTGTATAAATAGTATTTATGACTATAATTATCTTCATTTTAAATTTTCACACTGTACTGTATTACATTTCAGAATGGTTGGATACGGGAAACAACAAAAAGGCCGTGCAGGAAGCTGACAAGGTCCTGCGGAAACAGTCAACCCTCCACTGTGCCCGCGTCCTCAAGGGTCTGGCTCTGTTACGGATGAGCCGGCGTGAGGAGTGCGAGAACCTCATCTCTGCTGTCATCAAGGAGGGACCAACAGATGAAGCCACACTCCAGGCCCTCACAATATGTTTTCGTGAGATGCACCAACGTAAGTGTCAACCTAACCAGGCTGTCCTGAGCATACTGTACTTGGAAGTGTATAATGTTGGCATACACAGGAGAAGTACATAGATAGAAGGATAGATACAGATGACTAGTGTGAGGAAAAAAGCCTCATAACATAAGGGCAGGTTGCTATCCATGTTGTCATACTCATATATCTCGGGGGAGTTCATAGACCGGACTTAAATAATAACCCTGGAACTTTCCAGGGGAAATGACTGTATATGAGATATCTTAATACTGTACTTATCTGAATATACAGTGTGATTTTTTTTTTTTCAAGAGCCCTACATATATAGAACCAATTACTATATTGGCGGCCTAGCTGATCAGCTGATGCGGACAACTAAATGTGTTTGTTGTAAGGATTTTGTTAATCGAACTGAAAATCCTTATGGGAGCTAATTTGTTAACCAAAATTTCGTTAATCAAACTGTTCGTTAACCGAGGGACCACTGTACGTCCAATTGATGTGAGAGTGGGAGTGATCTTGAGTAGAGACTCCTCAAGGGAGAACGGAATATATCCGACGTCCCCCCCCCCCTCTCGAGGGAAGACGGAACCATCCGCGATGGCTCTCAATAACGTCTTCCTCTCGTCTGGGTTATCAAACTACTGCCCGCAATAGGTGGCCAGGGAGCTGGATACTTATCCCTCAGCTCAGCACTAAGTGACGTGATTTCCCGTGGACACACCTCATCACGTGCTCTGAACATGCTACCTCATAGTTAGTGGAAAGTTACAGGGGGTGATAGTTATACAAGTCTAATGTAATTAACCCACTTTTATATAAATACTTGTGCCCATAAGACATTTCTTAAGTTTATTCGTAAATGAATTGAGACCCCGTCATTATTATCATGTTTTTGTGACTGAAGTGAGCAGTGTAATTTTAAAAATGTCTCACATGCCGTTTGTTCACCATCTTTAAGACCAGGATGAAGGCTACATCTCCAGTCCCCACTTTTCAGACTCCCCAAAGTCTGTGTTGGACTCAAGTTGATGTCTCCACTCCACCTTAAGTCGACTAGACTTGTTATTAAATGATGTGGTGATTGTTGTTTAATTGTGCTTTAATGCTAGTAGTATTCTAGGATTTATTTTTTTCGGTGATACATATGGGTGTCCAACTGGCTAGGAACATACAGTATACCCGTACACTAAACCCCATGTTATAGTGAACCTGATTTATGGTGTTTCGACCTGCAAATAGAAGTTTACCTGTTTGTATAAAATACAGTGCACATATTTTGTTTGTATATTGTACGTGTACTGAAGTGTTTGCATAATTAAATGCAGCTCTGTGCTCCGTGTGAGATGCATAGTTTAGAAACGGAAACGTTCAGCAAAGCCCGGAACAATTCCTGGGATGAGAAAAATTCTCAAAACCTTGAAATCTCCAAACTTGGAACTGCTCAGCACCAATTATATTATTTCAGCTATTGGGGAGATTACTATAATGTGGTTAATTAACATATCATGTAGGCTCATTGTTCATTAATAACAGACCTTTAAAGTGTAGCTCCCTGTTTCATGTCATGTATGGACTGTACTGTAATTTCACAATTAATTGGATTACTCTTTCTTTACATGCATTGCCACCATACAGCTGATCAAATATGCAAAGTTTACGAAATGGCGGTGAAGACAGAGCCAAGCAACGAGGAGCTGCTGTCTCACCTCTTCATGGCGTACGTTCGGGTGGGCGACTACAAGAACCAACAACACACGGCCATGAAGTTGTACAAACTCAAACCCAAAAATCCCTATTACTTTTGGGCAGTGATGAGCCACGTCATGCAGGTATATGTGCATCATTGTCTTCCTGTGGGAGTTTTCTAATTGGGATGTTGTTTTCCTTACTGTGGGAATTTTCTAATAGAAGAAATTGTTTTATTTCAAGTAAGGAATTTATTGATAAACATCTAAAAAATATTCATACTTCTCTGATATAAACAGAGTGATAAAGTACTTCAGTCTGTCTGTAGAATTCAAGCTTGTTAACAGATTGGACATAACCATAGTTGTATCAGCTTTTACCTTACAGTAAATTTCCTCTAATCCAGATTAATTGGGGGGAAGGCCTGTTCAGTTTGACCGAAGTTCCGGGTTGGGCGAGGGTCTGTATTGCCTATACTGTATTGGTGGGTGGAAAATTCCAGAGGATGGGGGATTTCTGATTCAAGCTGCCTAAAAACATCGAACCCACTGTAATTTTTAGTCTAGACTTAACACCTTCAGGGTTTTATATGCAATATGCACGTTTTTTATTTTAGCCGCTTAAGGTTTTATCATCTGTGGAAAAATAAATTTTTCCTCGGTTTCTTATATGCTCTCGGCAGCTTGATGCTGCCTCTCCATGCAGAGCATTATGTCCTAACACTATATTTATGTTGTTTAAGTCTAGTTATAAGATCTTTACCTGTCTTATAACTAGACTTAAACAACATAAATATAGTGTTAGGACAGGCCAGGCATCCAATGCTCTGTTTGTTCATCTGAGGGATAATAAGCATTGCATTGACTGGGATAATGCCTCCTCAATATTACCTTGTAATTCGATTGACAGTAGGAACATTATAGAATTCAGTCTCATTAAACATACCGAAGCAGTCAACATGAATTTGAGTAATGGTATGTACAAGCTGGACAATTTTGTAATTAAGAAGATTTGTAACCAGGTGAGAAGGTTGGGTCATCTTACCCTCTAACCTGACTACCGACTGCTGCTGCGGTGCTTATGAAGATAAGTAGGGTCACTACCTAGTAACCTGACCATTGTGGACTTGATCTCACCTTCCTCTACTGTATATATATTTGCCTTGTTATGTATTTCTCCTTAGTCTGTACTCACCCCTGAAGATGTGAATTACACGAAAGCGCTTGGGAACTTCTTGTTTTCTTTTTTCCTTGTGGTTATCAGCATATACCTGGATCACGCCCACCTACAGTGATTTACTTGCATATATATATATATATATATATATATATATATATATATATATATATATATATATATATATATATATATATATATATATATATATATATATATATATATATATATATATATATATATATATATATATATATATATATATAACACACAGTGGTCCCTCGGTTAACGGACGGTTCGATTAACGAAATTTCGGTTAACGAACAAAACTTTGATTAACGAAGTCCTTACGAACATCACGTTTTGTTGTGAGCATCAGCTGATGGGCAAGTCTGCCAATTCAGTAATCTGTTATATGTTTACATTCGTTTCCAGTGGAGTAAATATCAAGAAAGCTGTGCTCTTCAATATTTTTGCATTTTTTATATAAAAATTATTAGTCATTTTAAAATTTAGTTAACATATTGATAATATATGCAGTACAGGGAACTAGTTTTTTGTGTGCCCATCAGTCGCTTGACTCACCCACCAGGCATCAGTTTGGCTTTGTTTACAGTGGAGTGAACATCGATTTTGTTGGTGTCTTGAATATTTTTGTAATTTTACATTAAAATTATTGGTCATTCTGAAATTTAGTTAACATATTGATAATATACAGCGCAGTGCAATGTTGATTTAAATAAAGTAATCTTGAATTATACCTAGTGAACTTAAAATTTTATTGGTGAAATTACTGCATCAAGCATGGGTCCCCTGAAAGGTGATTTCTCCTCCATCCCCACTTCCTTCTCCTCTCCCTTCTCTTCCATCCCCACTTCTAATTCCCATCATCATCATCATCAACCAGGAACCTTCTACATATACACCTCAAAGTAAATGTACTGTACTGCATTTTTTTTTTTTAGTTTGTATGTACTTTTCTGTGAGCTGGAACCAATTACCCAATATCCCATTGAAAAAATGGTTTCGGTTAACGAACGACTCTTGTGGAAAGAATTGTGTTTGTTAACAAGGGACCTCTGTGTGTGTGTGCACGCGTGCATGTGTGTGTGTGTGTGCGCACGTGCATGTGTGTGTGTGTGCGCTCGTGGGTTTTTTTTTTTTTTACGGGAATTAGCCAACCCGGGCACAGGTCAAACGACCCACAACGGAGCCTGGGGGGCGAAAAAAAAGAACGGAAAGAAATTGAAAATATAGAAAAAAAGGTTATACTGTATTAATCTACACCACGAAGATGCCGGAAAACCAGCTTTTTAAAGTGAGACAGATTGTAAGAGCATGGAAACACAGAAGAAGGCAAAGCATTCCACAGTTTGACTGTGTGAAGAAAGAAGGAGGTACTATAACGGGTTATTCTCGTGTGACCGATATCCACAGAGAAATGGTGGGCACCGCGGGCAAGACGTGTGTTACGAACCCACGGCCTTACCGGCGGTACACAGAATGCCAAATCCCCTGAACATTGCCCGTTAAAGTACCTGTAAAAGAGAGAGTGAAGCAACATTGCGGCGAAAAGAAAGGGGAGAGAGATTGTCGACTAAAGGAGGAAAGTTAATAAGACGAAATGCCTTTGATTCCACCCTATCTAATAGTTGGACAGAAGAAGAGCCACCCCAGATATGAGAGCAGTACTCCAAGTTAGGACGAATGAATCCCTTATATACTTGGAGCAACTGTTCAGGAGTGAAGTAGCTGCGGCATCTGTACAGCATTCCCAACTTTCGGGAGGCAGCTTTAGTTATACTAAGGATGTGTGATTTCCAGGACATATTGGAGGAAATGGTGAGGCCTAACATATTTATTTCAGAATTTGGGGGGATGATAGCGTCCTGAAATGTAATTGGTGGGAGATCGTCTACTTTACAAAGTGTAATTGGTAAATATTGAGTTTTGTTACTATTGAACTTAACCAAGTTTGTATCTCCCCATTCAGAGATGCTGCACAGATCCGCGTTGATAGAAGTAATGATATCAGTTCTAGAAACAGATCTAGTTTGAGAGTTAGGAGGAAGGGGAAAATGTGAGGAAGAGTGAAGGGTAGAATCATCGGCGTAAGAATGGATAGAATTAGTTGTAGTGTGAAGTAAACCATTGATAAAAAGAAGAAAGAGAGTAGGTGAAAGAACAGAACCCTGTGGGACGCCACTATTGGTAGAGAAAGAGCGAGAAATCGATGTGTGTGTGTGTGTGTGTGCGCATGCGTGTGTGTGTGCGCGTGTGTGTGTGCGTGTGTGCGTGTGCTATCTCAATCACTTCCTACTACATTTTGCCCTCCCCTTCAGTTCTCTCACTATTCTTTCCTTTGTTAAGGTTTCTGTATCCTCTTCATCTTCTCCAAACAAGAAATACTTAACAAAAAGGATTTTTTGTGTACAGTATTACCCCGCTTTACGCGTTTCCACGTTTACGCGGTACCCTGCCAGACCCGGAATGCTCACTTTACGCGGTGCATGTACTCTTTTACGCAGAGAGTGGCGCGGGCAGGGTGCGCACAAGGTCGCCCAGTCATCAAAACATTACCGAGTTCTTCACCCACCACAGCCGGCCCAAGTCAGTGATAGTGAGGATATGGACTTTAAGGGGTTTGACAAAGAGGCCCTGCAAGCCTCTGTGGTGGATAGTGATACAAGTGATATAGGTGAGGGCCAATAATCTGCCCTCTGCCTCGGAACCAACCCCCCTTCCCTGTGTGCCCAGCCATCTTTTCTACTAATGTAAGTGTTAAAAAACCTAATATTATTGATATTTCTCTTAATTATTAATTGTGTGTGAATACCATCATAAAATTAAGAAGTTATTTTTACTACAATGTAGGTATTGTGTCTGAAAAAGTGGAGTTTGGGAGTCGGCCCAGTCTCTATTTCAATTAATTCCACATGTTATGTTGTTCACTTTACGCGGGCCTCCGTGGGTTCAATTGACCGCGTAAAGCAAGGGTTCACTGTATTGTTCTTCTCAGGTCCACAAATACAATTGTATTTATGTTTTGTGTTTTTCAGGCCCATAAATCAGGTGATCCAAAGGGTAAAGAGGTCAGCCTTTTGCTCGCCGAGAGAATGGTGAACAACTTTATCAAAGACGGCAAAATTGAAGCAGAGGCGGAGGTTATGACGTTCCTTCACATCTTAGAAACACAGGTAAAGGGAAGTGTATGTGTAGTATGTATGTCTGTCATCAGTCATACAGGTACAGGATGATGTCTGTCTGTCAGTGTATCAGTCATACAGGTACAGGATAATGTCTGTCTGTCAGTGTATCAGTCATACAGGTACAGGATAATGTCTGTCTGTCAGTGTATCAGTCATACAGGTACAGGATAATGTCTGTCTGTCAGTGTATCAGTCTTATAGGTACAGGATAATGTCTGTCTGTCAGTGTATCAGTCATACAGGTACAGGATAATGTCTGTCTGTCAGTGTATGTCTGTCATCAGTCATACAGGTACAGGATGATGTCTGTCTGTCAGTGTATCAGTCATACAGGTACAGGATAATGTCTGTCTGTCAGTGTATCAGTCATACAGGTACAGGATAATGTCTGTCTGTCAGTGTATCAGTCATACAGGTACAGGATAATGTCTGTCTGTCAGTGTATCAGTCTTATAGGTACAGGATAATGTCTGTCTGTCAGTGTATCAGTCTTATAGGTACAGGATAATGTCTGTCTGTCAGTGTATCAGTCTTAACTGCTGTCACACTTATTGGGCTACTGGAATATTTGTACAAACATTAAGACCTTCAGAACAAACTGAAATAGATAATTTGACCATGACATGTTGAATGACACAGAGTGACTCCAGACTTCCATATTCCTTTATTATTATTACATCTCCATTATTTACCAAGTTGATTTGTTGGTAATGTTTCCATGATTCACTAAATTCATTTGTCATTAATTGCTCCATTGTCAAGTTTATTTTTCTTTGTTATTTTCATCTGCTTTCAATTTACAATTTATACACTTAATTTTACTCATGGAACAGTACTTCTCCAGTGATACACTTTTAAACCTTAACTACCTCGTGTGCTACGTGTAACCCGTTGATAGTCTTAGATTCTGTTATTACAGGAATGATTGTGTAGCAGTGCATCTCTTATGATGATAGGTATATTAAAATAATATGTCCTTCTTGATAGGGTAAATATGGTGAGGCGCTGGGTGTCTTGGATGGGCCTCTGGCAGAGAAGGTGGTGCATCAGCCTCAGAACTTTTTGGCACTAAAGAGAGGCTCCTACCACTCAAAACTCAGCCAGTGGGAAGCAGCCTCATCTGTCTATAAGAACCTCATACTGGAAGAGTAAGTTTTTTGCCATATTATTGTTTATTTGTGTTGTTTCTGTGCTCAGGACATGTATGGTGAATACTGGAACTGTATATCTTTGGTTTAATTATGGAGTTTCCTATTCTTCTTACCTGCAATGCCTCACTCTAATAGGGATCTCATCTCTGAGGAAGTAACAATGATAGAAGAGCCTCACTCTTCCCTTTGTTCCCTCTCCATTTTCTCTTTAATTTATTTTTCCTTTCCACAAAATAGGATGTCTTCCAAACACAATACATTTTCAACAATGCATCTGCACACTCAAGCTATCAGCTAACAGTCACTGAGCGTATTGAGTAGATTAACAGATTAAGTGATTTATTCCTTCCTCCCCAGGCCAGACAACTGGCAACACTACGTAGAGTACATCAGAACAATGATGAAATTAAGGGAAACAGACAGAGGAAGGGAAGACCCGCTAGTGGCTGCTGCTGCGTTTCTCAGTGACATGAAACAAAAGGCAGAGTCTGAGAAGACAAAAAATAGAGGGCCTTTTTTAGGCCTGTTACAGTTAGCTTTGGTGCTACACCAGCAGGGAATGAGTGAACGAATCAGTGAATTATGTGGTAAGGACAATCTCTTAATCTAAGCTTTAGTTTAGTCGTTTTGAAACATAAACCTTATTTTGATAATGTTTCGTCCATTAGTTGACTAGTATGTAGTGGATGAGACAAAATGTAAGATAAGTGTTTCATTGTTGCAGGTGATCTTGTAGAGATCCTCCACCTCTACATTCAGGGGTATGGGGACAAGATGTGTTGCTATGGTGACATTGTTAACTTCCTTCCACTCGTGCCAAAGGACCAGATCTCTCTCTTCCTCAAACAAATTAAGGAACTTGTACAACTTAATGAAGAAGGTACTCCAGTTAATGTAAGTATCTGAGGAAGAATGTGTCAGTGGAAATATAAGTGAAAGAGGTGTTGAACAAAAGAGCCATCCAGGTTTGTTATGGTGCTTCAGTACCGGCATATTGAGAAAATGGAAAGTGAAAAAGACCAATTAAAAAAAAAAGTACGCTATAACTCAGGATTGATGGTCCAGGCCTAAATGACCAATTTACCTGATCTCTGGGCCTTTTTGGATTTTTTACTCTGTTAATCAATTTATATTAAAGTTATTAACCAACCTTATTTGATTTTAGGACACATTTGTATCTATGCCATTACTGAGAGTCACTGATAAGTTGCAATTGTCATCGGGTAATTCTGGTGATGCCCTCGTACAGATCATTATAGCCATAATGCCTGTTGCTCATTTAATTTACACGTGTAAGTGTTACAAACGATAACTTAGATGTCTGAAATCTGAATGTATTTTATTAAACAGACAAAGTCAGCATGAAAGTGACAGTTACCACACCTACGGTAACAGTTTAATCAGGCCTCGGACACATCAGTTATTCAGTGCTGTGGATAAGACTTTACTCGCTGAGAAGTTGTAAGTGGAGGAAACAGATATAATGTGTGAACTTGAGATTTTATGTCCTTTGATCACTTTCATCTGGAAGGGAATGAGGGGACTCTCCAGTATAAAGAAGATACAGACACCACTGGTGTATTGGTTTTCCTCTGAATTTTGTGGTGACTTGTATGATTATCTCCCAAACATTCACATGTGATATAGCATATTATGTAGAACTGTTATTTTCAATTGTGTCAGGCAAGCAGTATTTCAACTCTTGCAAATTTTTTTCCAATTTATGTTAATTTTTAAATTTCTCTGAAATGAACAGGAATTAAGATTTTTTGTATTATTAAATTTTTATCATTATATTTGCATTGTACAATCCTCATGACTTGATGACAGTGGCTGTATTTTTTATGTATCAAGTCCATACTGCCATGACAGCTTGTGGAGCAGTATCATATATTTTTTATTCCTGTCCCTACAGGTTGAAGCTGTTTATCGTAATCTTTGTTGGTTACAACTTAGAAGGGCCTTAGGAGAACAGGAGACGTTAACCCCACTACAGCACATGGAATTCTCTGACTCTCTTGTAAAGTTGTACAAACAGACGCTCCATCTCTCCTCACATATGGCTGACACAGACATCAGGTCAGTGTTAATGCTCAAGTTCACAAATATTTTAAGTAGTTGGCAAAGAAAAAATAGTTGTAGGGTTAGGGTCTCCTTCCTTGAGTACCAGTATTATATACCTACAAGAAGGAACTGGAGTCGCTGTGGCTACCCTCAAAAATCCACCAGGTAGTTTGAATGCTTGATGTCTAAACCTTTCCAGTTACTTTCTTCCCTTGTTATGCACCACCCCTGAACCATCACCCTCTCCCTCCATATTTTTTGTGAGGTTTCTGTGCCCCATCATCCATACCACATGAAAGTGGGGAGGAACAGACATGATACAGAGATGAGTTTTTTGGGGGGAGGTGGGGGGTGTCACTTGCAGTACAGTATGCCCAGATAAATCGTGGATTTTTATTTCACAGTCCTCTATTATTCGCGGATGACACCCTGGATGTACCCAAGAATGTCCACGGGTAGTTTTAAAGTTGCCGGCATTTTTGCGGCTGGGACAGGGAGTCATTCGTTCTAGAGACAGTAATTTCCTTTACCTGTGTTGTAGATATGTGTGTGTGACGTGTGAGTCTGTGTAAACACATGGAGTAGGCTTGAGGGTAGACTCACATTTTTAATAAATTTGTTTCTGATTATTTGTGAGAGGATTTTCCCATTATTATTTATTTGTATGTGTTTTGTGTGTGTGTGTGTCCTCTCACACACACACACACACACACACACACACTGGAGTCTGCATTTACGCGGTCAATTGAACCCGTGGAGGCCCGCGTAAAACGAGAAACGCATAAACGAAATAACAGAACATATGGGATTAATTGAAATAGAGACTGGGCCGATCCTCAAACTACACTTTTTGCCGACACAATACGTACCTTGTAGTAAAAATAACATCTTAATTTTATGATGGTATGCACACATAATTAATATTTAAGAGAAATATCAATAATATTAGGTTTTTTAACACTTACGTTAGTAGAAAAGCTGGGTCGGCACACGTGGATGGCGGCTGGTTCCGAGGCAGAGGGCAGATTAGTTGCCCTCTGGTGAATCACTTTCACTACTCGCAGAGGTTTGCAGGACCTCCCAGACAAACCTCTCAAAGTCCATATCCTCACTGTCAATATCACTATCACTGACTTGGGCTGGCTGTGGTTGTGGTGGGTTGTGGGCGAGGAAGTCCTCAATACTACGTTGACGACTAGCATTGATGTTGTCGAGATAGATCTGGATATACGGCTCCATAAATTTCGTTAGATGGTTATTAGACACTTCATACCGATGCTTGTCTGGGTAATTGTCAAGGATGAGCTTAAGTTTCTCCCCCAACTCGATGATTTCCTTCACATTAACATAGCTTGGTCCAGGTAATTCAATGTTTTTCTCTGGTGGTGGGGGTCCCGCAGAAGCCATTGTGAGTTGTGAGGGGAATAGCGGGCACAAGAGAGAACTGTATATGCGGACTGAGAACAATGAGACAGGCCCTGCTAGGTCAGCAACTTCTACCCTCTGGTGACAGGGCACGTCATGTTACATTAAACCAATCACAGCTAGCAGCGGAGGGAATGCGTGGGTGGTAAGGATGAGTGGCCCAATCACAGTCCGATACGTCATATGACGTCACCGATAACACAACAGAAACACGCTGCGCAACCTTACTCGCGCCGCTTGAATCCAAAATGGTGCGGCGAGTCTGGACCCTCCAGCGACTCGCCACGTAAATGACCAAATTTACTGCGTAATTAAAGCATTTCGTGACATTAACCGAAATGGACGTTGTCCGATCATCACAAAAACGCGATAACGAAAGTACAGAACCTATGGGATTTATTCTAATTGGTTCCAGGCACCCAAGACCCAACCCCAAGTTTCCCATTTTACGACCATTTAGACCCACTAAATATATATATAATGTTATGGTAAATATCATAAACACACATAGGCATGGCTAGGTTTATTACAAAGTGATGAAAAGGGTACACTTAATACTGTAGTCCACAAAACATGTAGCTGTGCTTTTTTTATTTGGTCCCCCATCATACGAGTCCGTTTTCTCTCACTTCAGGACGCCTGAGTCCTCAGATTTCTCTCAATCTTAGAGTGCACCCGAGATTTCGTTATTCCTTAGTAATGACACAGAATTTGATATTGCAACTGGGGTTGCAATTGTTGAGGCAACTTAGATGTGTCTGATTACAGTTGGAATATTCAAGATCCATTGTGAGTGATGTTTAAAGCTTCAACTGTCTTTATGGTTGGTAAAACTTGTCAAGTCTGTCAGTCTGAGTGGTATGTGTGAGTGCTTGTGTTTGTACAACCACTTTCATTCAGACCCACTAAAGATATAATGTTATGGTAATTATCAGAAACATAATTAGGTATGGTTAGGTTTATTACAAAGTGATGAAAAGGGTACGCTTAATACTGTACAGTGGGTAGTCCACAAAACATGTAGCTATTCTTTTTTTATTTGAGTGCCCCGTCATAGGAGTCCGTTTTCTCTCAATCTTAGAGTGCACCGGAGACTATGTTATTCCTTATTAATGACACAGAATTTGAAATTGCAACTGGGGTTGCAATTGTTGAGGCAATTAGATATGTCTGATTACAGCAAATGTGTTATTGTCAATTTGTAGGTGAAAGATTTTATCCTTAATATGTGTAGGTTAACATTACACCTGGAGGCAAATGCTTACTAAAACCTAAGGAAGGAAGGATATCTGGCCAGTATGGGGAGAATCATCGTGTCTCCGTCAGGGGGTCATGGAGTGGTGATCTAGCAGGCGTCACAGAAGTGTTTTTTAGGGGGGAGGGGCCACGGACGTATGTGCGATCGGACGTTGTTCGGTTGGATGTTAACCGACGCATGAATATATATATATATATATATATATATATATATATATATATATATATATATATATATATATATATATATATATATATATATATATATATATATATATATATATATATATATATATATATATATATATATACATACACACACACACACACACACACACACACACACAGTAATACCCCGCTTAACGCGGTTTCGCTTAGCGCGATTTCGCGTATACGCGGTGCCTCGCCAGAGCCGAAGTTTCACTTAACGCGGGTTTTTTCCACGTATACGCGCAGAGTGTCCGGCTCGAGACGCTATTTTTAGATTCGCCCCACCCGCCACCCGCTTGCCTGCCTGTTTTAGCTCATAAAATTCATACAAATTACCCGGCCAGAATATAATTTACATTGCTGGAATTCTTATAATATGATGATCATTTTGAATATAAACATCATAGATTTTGCATTAGACATACAAATTTTAGATATAATGTTTACTCTGAGTAAATATGTTATCTTTTGTGCAAAATATATGACATTTATATTCAAAATATTCCTGGTTTACAAGGAATCCAGCAATGTCAATTATATTATCTTAACTTTAGTTTGAGGTATTATTTATTAAAATTTAGTGGTTTTCCCCCCAAAATTTCTCAGAGAGGGAAGAGCCAGCGAGTGTAGTGTGAGAAGAGGGGGAGGGAGTCTAGTCCATTATTTGAATGGACATTAACTTGGCGACTGTATTTCTCTATTTCTCTTAAGTATTAATTGTGTGCATGTACCATCATAAAATTAAGATGTTATTTTTACTAGAACATAGGTATTGTGTCGGAAAAAGTAGAGTTTGGGGGTCCGGCCAGTCTCTATTGGAATTAATCCCATATGTTCTGTTGTTCACTTAACGCGGTTTTCACTAACACGGTACCCTGTGGGTTCAATTGACCGCGTTAAGCGAGGTACTACTGTATATATATGCAAGTAACTCACTATGCACGTGATCCAGGTATATGCTGATAACCACAAGGAAAGAAGAAAACACAAAGTTCCCAAATGCTTTCGTGTAATTCACATCTTCAGGGGTGAATTACACGAAAGCGCTTGGGAACTTCGTGTTTTCTTCTTTCCTTGTGGTTATCAGCATATACCTGGATCACGCGCACCTACAGTGATTTACTAATATATATAGTATATATATATATATATATATATATATATATATATATATATATATATATATATATATATATATATATATATATATATATATATATATATATATATATATATATATATATATATATATATATATATATATATATATATATATATATATATATATATATATATATATATATATATATATATATATATATATATATATATATATATATATATATATATATTTTATTTCTTTGTACACAAGTAAAAATATATCCCCCCCCCTCTGGGCCAACAAATGTTATTCGCAGATTTGGCGATTCGCAGCCATTTTGAGAACCAAATCCCCGGGAATTTGAAGGGCATGCTGTACTGAATTTAAGTCCCATCTATAACGTGCAGGTCTCATTCTTAGGCTCACTTCTCCATTACTGTATACAAATTCATATTCTGTTGCCACCACTCATGAAGATGCTATAAGTTTTAAATTGCATCTAGTGGTTATATTGAGAAAACTTTGAGACTGAGTAAATCATTTTTTGCTCTCTCTCTCTCTCTCTTTATATTCAGACCAGGGGATGCCTACTTGATCCTGGCCACCCACAGCTACCTTAAGGCAGTGTCCAAGTGTGATGGGGCCACCACAGACATCAACCCGAAACACCTCATCCTAAAAGTTGCTGCCATCTTGGAACACGGCATAGAAATTTCTAAAGCTAATTTTCAGTTAAAACTACTACTTATTAAAGTGTATAATATCCTTGGTGAGTGATATTAGCATTCTTACATGTATTTTTTATGTACTGTAAGTTATGTGTGAAGAATGTGAGGGTCAGTACTGTATATTGAATTCATACTTGGAAGACAGACGTAAGAGCATATTCTGTGGGTATTATAGTTGAATGTAGTTAAGCCCCTTGACAAATTAGATTTTCATTTTAGTTATTAAGTGAAAAAAGGCTTGAGTTTTTCATGCTGTATATCTGATGTTTTCTTGAGTATTTATTATAATGTCTCTATTAACTGAAAGTTGTTGGGTGAGTGCAAATTTCTAGCTTCTAAGGTAAAGATCCAGGTCACAAGAAGATCAAAACAAAATCTTGTTTAGAACATTATTATCAAGTACGGTTCGAGTTTTTATGATCAAATTTTTATGCAAAAAATGAAGGGGTCAAACTACATACGCATAGCATTTCCTTGAGCTTATTATTTACGATAAAAAATAGCTACCCAGTACATGTTTTTTTTTTACACGGGATTAGCCCACCCGGGCACAGGTCACTGACCCACATCAGGGCCTGGGGGGCGAAAATATGTGAAGAAAAGAATCTCATTCACTATATATATATTTCATGTAGATCCACAATGAAAACGTGGATAAGATAAATCTTGATAAAATCACACGGGAAAGGGGAAACAACGGAGCACCTTAGCTTTCGTCTTTATTCAAGACATCTTCAGAGGCAACTGAAGATGTCTTGAATAAAGACGAAATTAAGGTGCTCCGTTGTTTCCCTTTTCCCGTGTGATTTTATCAAGATATACTAAAAATACCATCTTAACTTTATGATGGTATTCACCCACACATAATATAGAAAGGAACAGTCAATAAACTGAAGGTTAGGTTAGAAAAAACAAGGTTGGGGTTAACACTTACGTTAGTAGAAGAGATGGGTCGGCGTACGGGAATGGAGGCTGGTTCCAAGGCAGAGGGCAGGCTACTGGCCCTCAGGTGAGTCACCATCACTGTCATCCACACTTGTCAGGGCCTCCCTGACAAATCCCTCAAAGTCATCATCACTGTCTCTACCTCTGTCACTATCACTGGCTTGGGCTGGCTGTGATGGGTTGCGAGCGAAGAACTCTGTTATGCTTTGCTGACGGCTGGTGTTAATGTTGTCGTGATAAACCTTGATGTAGGGCTCCATAGTCTGCAACAGCTGGGTAGTGAAGATTTCATACCTGTTTGCATCAGGGTTGTTGGAAAGGAGGAGCTTGACTGTCTCGATACACTCGATGGCACCCCTAACATTACTATGGGATAAGCGGTGTTCTTCTTGGGATGACGCACCACCTGCCTCTTCACTGACGTCATCATCATCTACCATCTCGTCGGTAGTCACATCAGGATCCCTTATCACCTCCAGGATGTCATCGTTGGTGGTCTTGGAGAAGCCTGCAGCTGTAACACTCTGCGCAGCTTCTCTGGCAAGGTCCACTGCTACTGCAACAATCTGAACCTCACCAGTCACAGATTGACTCTGCCTAACGGCCGGAATGCCTTGCAACACATGTCTCCATGCTTGACGAACAGTTGCTACAGACAGCTGATCCCATGCCTCCACCAAGAAGTCCATAGCTTTCTTGATGTTGAATATTCTCCAGAATTGTTTTAAAAGTACTTGTTGCTCTGCCAACTGTTGATCCTCGTCGTCTTCGCTCTTGCTATCGGTGGTGGTGTCACTCAGGTTACGCAACTCTTCCCTGGTGTTGGTGTAGTCGTTCAGGAGCTTGAATTTTTTAGTAGAGAATGCAGCTTTTACATTACAGATTAACTCTTGGTCCATGGGCTGTAATATAGACGTAGTGTTGAGAGGAAGGAAGACCACTTTTACGTTGGGGTGACGATCTAACAGTCGGGGCGAGTGTCCTGGTGCGTTGTCCAGCAGCAACAAAATCTTGAATGGCACATTCTGTTGCTCACAGAATTTCTTCATATCGGGAACAAAACAGTCATCAAACCAGGAGAGGGACAGTGTAGAGAACATCCACGCCTTACGTGCGGTCAGCCAGTGGACATTTAGCTTGGTCATGTCCATGCTCTTGTAGGCGTGCGGCTTGCGTGCTGCGTGGATCACCGATAACTTGAGCTTACAGGTACCGGAGGCATTGGTGGTAAACAGGACGGTGATGCGCTCCTTCTGCAACTTCCGGCCCCGAATCTTGCTGGCATTCTTCACAACGAACATCTTGGAAGGTAGCTTTTTCCAAAAAAGACCTGATTCGTCCATGTTAAACACCTGGTCGACGGTGTACTGGCCTTCCTCCATAATCTCACGTAAAAACGGAGGAAATTCCCTGCCGCAACACGGTCAGCACTAGCTTCTTCACCACCAATGTTGATATTGGTGATCTTGTTCCTCTTCTTAAACCTCTGTAACCACCCAGAGGAAGCATTAAAGGGTTTTGGCTCTGTAATTCCCATCTTTCGTGACACTGCAGCATACAGTTCACGTGCGTACTCCTTAACTGAGCACGTGTCCACCGCCATGTTCCGTCGCGCCTGACGCACCAAGTAGCTCACAAGTAATTTTTCCGTCTTGAGAAGCACCTGGTTGTGGAAATACTTGATCATAGAAGCACCTGTAGACTTTGTGATGTTCATGTGCTCCTTTATCTTGGCTGCATCCTTCTTAATTGTCCTGATCGTAGACTCGTTAACACCATGCTGGCGCACGAGGTCAACCTGTCTTGTTCCTTTCTCCAACTCTTGTATGATCTTATACTTAATTTCGTAGCTTAAGGAACGTCGTGTCTTCTTTGGCTTAGGGCGGCTGGGTCCAGATAAGGAAAGGTTTCTCTCTGGGGGCGGTGGTCCGGCGGAAGCCATTTTACAGAACAATGGATGCACGATTACATGGTGTGGCCTGGAGGGATGAAACTGCCGCGGCTAGGTCAAGCGTCGTCTTTCCTCCCTCCCTCCCTCCCCCGGGTGGACACGTCATAATACTTTAAACCAATCACAGCTAGCAGCGGAGGGAGGTAAGGATGCATGGCCCAATTACAGTCCGATACGTCATATGACGTCACTGATAACGCAACAAAGACACACACTGCGCAACCTACTCGCGCCGCTTACACAACATGGCGGATGGCGGGAGAGGGCGGGAGGTTTGGATCCAAAAATGGCGCGGCGCGAGAGGACCGCCAGCCGCCCTCCGCGTAAAGGGGTACACGCACCGCGGAATGTGAGCATTCCGGTTTCGGCAGGGTACCGCGTAAACGTGGAAACGCGGAATGTGGGACCGCGTAAAGCGAGGGTTGACTGTATATCCAGGTCGTAAGTCCGAATGGTCATAAGTTCAACAGATAAAAAAAAAAATTAATAAAAAATCTACAGTGAAATACAGTACAGTAAAAATAATAAATAATGAGGAATGGATACAGTGTGACTGAGCACTTACCTTTAATGTAGTCAGCTGAGTGCACATGGGGCCCCCATAATTTTCTAATTATACATGGAGACTACATTAACTGGAAACGTTTCGGTATAGAAAATGCGTGCACCATTTGAAGAAAAAAAAAATGGTCACAACTGCGGCGGTCGTAAGTCCCGACGGTTGCAAGTCGAAGCAGTCGTAAGTCGGGGTCTAGCTGTGTGTATATATATATATATATATATATATATATATATATATATATATATATATATATATATATATATATATATATATATATATATATATATATATATACACACCACTTTAAATCTACAAATATCTCATACAAATGAAGATTTTCAGATAATATTCTTTTGATCTGCATCTGTTAACATCACTGGCAAAATTTTTGCTGACTCATCACTATACCCACATCCCTCTAGCCCTCTCCCTACCAGGCAGAGCAGAGAGGTGTTACAGTTATTTTTGAACTTGTAATTTCAGGTAGACAAGAGTACATGCACATACTATCCTTCATACATATTGTACCAAAAAACATGGGGGAGTGGGAGCTGTGTTGCTAGGTCAGCAGAGACAGCATCCCAGCTGGTCTCCATTACCATGGCTAGTGTTGAGGCCAAGCAGCCAGTGTTTATGCATGTGGCGTTGTGTTAAACTTTCAATTAGATTTTCTTTAATGGTTTTAGCTGCATTTTTTACATCATCAATAGATTGTATAGAAATGTTAATTGAAGTAGGACAATTGTTAAATAACATAAGAAATGTAGGTGGCATGCTTAAAAGGCCTAAACTTTCTGAGGGTCTTATCCCACTGACCGTAGGACCCTCTTAAGACTGTACCATGCTATCGATGTGAGCTGTACTCTTTAGCCACACCAACCAGGTTAAAAACTATTGATACATTACATCACGCTGGCATCCGTTTGGTCACGAGAGCCTTTAGATCTTCCCCAGTATCAATCTTCTGGTGGATGCTGGAGTATCACCATTGGATATGCATCAGCAATTCCAAATGGCTCGCTGCTGGTACTGAGTACAGCTTCTTCCAAGATCCAACATGGAAGGCCATATCTGATAGGTCCATGGACCATAGATTTACCCTTTACCCGTGCATTCCTGATCCTTCAGCTTTCGTGTCCAGGAGCTGGTTGACAGATTATCACTTCCCCAACTCCCTGTCACCCCAGTGAAAATGCCAACCATGGCACCCTGGGACCGACCAGAGATGGACTTCTGTCGTTACTTCCCAGGGAGCAAGGCTGATGTTGATGAAATAAAGGCCAGGATGTACAGTATTTCCAGAAATATGCAACTCAGCACAATGGCTCAGTGCATGTTTATACAGATGGCTCCAAATCCGACGCTGGTGTTGGGTTTGGAACCATCTTCACTGATTTAGTCACAGTTGGGGGACTTTCCACCTTTGCATTTTTTTTTACTGCAGAACTCTCTGTTATACACGTAGCCCTTAAAGAAATGAGCATGAATAAGGCTGGGAATTTTACTATTTTTTAGTGATTCCAGAGCAGCATTGTCTTCGCTGGAATCTTTTAATCCCATCCACCCTCTTGTTTTAGATACTT